CAGGCATGGTCCACCACACCCAGTTATTTGGTGCTGAGGATCAGACATTGCTGCAGGCAGGCTACGGTGCCTCTTCTGGGGCTCTGGTGAGAAGTGGAGGGAGCACCAACAGCTGTGACTTGGGCTAGAACTAGAGCTGCGTTGCTGTCAGGTGTGGCTGCTGGGCCCAAACTGACTAAAAATCGGATGCATCCGTGAAATGAGCGGCTTGTACAACCAAGTATCCATTTGATGGAGAAGGCTCTAATCTCACCTGGAAAATTGAACAGCAGAGCCAGCAAGCTGTTCTGGGTATTAATGAAGATAGAAAGTCCAGGTCCAAGGACTGTGACAACCCACTGTGCCCTGCTGCTGTGTAGACTGATTGGAGCTTGTAGCTCAGTTCGCACTGGGAGTCCGGCCATGGCACTGGAGGTCCTCTGTGGCTAGGTGGCTGGGGATGGACTGCCTGGGCAGGCTGGAAGGAAGGCACAGAAAGCATCCTCACTGGTGTGTACTGGAGAAGCAGTATGGTACTGGTCACATACCTGAAGGGACTTAGGGGCAGACATGGTCCCTCAGAAACTCAAAGGCACCAGAAAAGCTGCACTACATGGGCAGAGGCAGGAAGGGGGGCAGGAACGGAATAGGGACACTTGAAGGGAGGAACAGAGCGGCTATGTTGACTGAAGATAGCTTTCTGGGGTGCCTGATCATCCATGTACGCTTGGTAGAGAAGGGTGCAGAGGCTCGGAGAGGTCAGGAAGTCGCTCTGCAATTGAGCGGAGGCCCATGTTGGTAGCCAGGCTTCTCAGAGGGACACAAGGATGCCAAGGTAGGAAGCATGTGACTCAAGCCACTGCTAGAGTCAGGGCACCCTCAGATTCAGACACCTGAGGTTGACACTCAGGGTCTTGAGCCCTGGTGCCCTGGCTACCCTGAGTTCAGATCAGCCCACCCTGCCCATGGACACGTGGCTGACGGGATTTCCGCCATGTTTGAGGCATGAATTGACAAGTGCTCCATTGACGGGGCAGGGGAGGGGGTAGGCAGGGCACAAGACTCCCACTGTGCTATGTCCCCACCCTCCCCACCCCCCAGGACAATGGCCAAGACTCAGCCAGCAGCCACAGCTGGTGGGGGGGGCATAAAAAGGGGGACAGGGAGGGTCCAGGGTGGAGGGACCACCTGGGTCCCTGCCTGCTTGCCTCCTGCACCTGGCTTGGGTGTTCTCATTCCCTTGTGCCCAGATGAGTAATCTTAAAAGGAAGAGAAAAAGGGAAAGGCTGTTTTCCCACAGCCTGGACCCTGGCCTGCCTGCGAAGAAATGGCATCTGTGTCTGGCTCTTGTTTCTAGCAGGTAATAAAGGGCCTAATTAGTGTGGAGGTCCTGAGGCACAGCTCTGCAGGACAATGTGGGACACGAGAGGCCCTGTGTAATCCTGGCCTCTAGGTCCTACATGGCCTGCCCAAGGTCTCCAGGCCTGGCAAGGCTACCTCGACTCCCTGGCTCATCATCTTGTTCATTCATTCTGTGGCTGGTAATCTTGCCTGCGGTATACCAGGGTTCTTAGATTGCAAAGACACACAGGAGTCACAGCCCAGTTCCTGCCCTGGAACTATAGGCAAGACAGCCTGTCTCGTCTCTTCCCCTATACAACTGAGGATAGGGGCCTCATGGGAGACATGTTCTTTGGAATGTGGAAGTCAGATTATGGACACTCAGTTAGCTTCTCCAGGGAGGTGCAAGCCAGCCAGAGAGCGGGTAGACAGCCTGTCATGAAAGGAGGAGATGGGCAAAAGGAAGAGTCATGGTAGTCATGGTGGCCACTTGGGCTGGGATTTTAGACAATAAAAATCTATAAAAGAATGGGAATTGGCTTTCTCTGGTACAGGCAACAGCATATGCAAAGGCCCTGTGGGTGGTGTGTTTGTCCCTGACAGGAAGGAAGTAGGAGCTGGGCTTCAGAGAGTGGCACAGAGGAGGCTGAGGGGCAAGCAGAAGGCAGCCAGTGCCAGGCTTTGGACAGCTGAGTGGCTCTGGCTTTATCATTTGCTGGGCGAATTTGTTGGAAATTTTGAGGAGGAGGACAGACACTGATTGGTGACACTGGGGCTCTACTTTCTGGATGTGGGACCTTGGAAGGCTTGTGGCAGGGCTGTGGTCACTTTCCAGGTGGTCTTGAGGCTGGTGGGGGGTGCCACATGTCCTGCCTTGAGTCTCCAGCCCTGCAGGCACTCCTCATTGGGATCCAGTGTTCCTTGGTTCTCTTGGCAAGTGGGGCAGCTCTCCTAGAGTGTACCTTGAGGATTGTGTCCTCTCCTGGGCTCCTGGGGGCTCTGTTCCAGCCTCAAGATCCCCAGGCTTCCATAAGCCTCTGGAACAATAGAGTTGTGTGGATTGCTGGCTAGGCTGGGACTCTTGAAGTGTCTGGGCAGTGTGGGGAGAAGACAAGGCTTGTAAGGAGAAGGGGGTAGAGGGTCCTGCATGCCTCAGGAGGCCTCAGCTTCTCCCCCTCCAGAGCCCAAGACCCACCTCACCCTGCCATCAGCCTCCTCCTCCCACCTCCGTCCTCCCGGACCCTGGCACGAGAGGGTCCCTCCTCCCCTAGCCACATCTGGTTCTTGTTAGGGTCTCCCAGGATGCCTGGGCCTGAGGCCCCCCATCCCCCGGGGGAGGTGGACAGGAGGATTAGGGACGATTAGGAGTGCTCCTGGCCAGGGAAGGAGGGGCCCAAGAGGAGGGGCTGGAATGGTTATAAACAGCAGTCCATGACCACATCAGCCCATCACTCACCCAAGGTGCCAAGTTCAGTCTCAAAAACCTGCAGCTTCAGCAGCTGGGCAGAGTGGGGGTGGGGCTCTAGGCTCTCCCCTCTTCTTCAGAAACCCATCAGCAATGGTGTGGGGCGGGACCAGGCTGGGAGAAGACACAGAAACATCAGCTTTCTCCCTGGGGTCAGATTGGCTCATTTTTCTGTGTGGCTTTGGGGTGAGGAGTGATCTTCCTGAACAATGGGGACAGAGGAAGTAGCACCAAGTTCATGGGACTGATTGAGGGTAAAACGCAATGTGTGAGTACTTAAATAGTGCCAGACCTGAGAGCATGATCCTCCGTCTGTCATCCACATAGTATGAATTCAGGACTGATAGGCACTTCATAGCAAGCTGCCATCACCAACAATGTCACTTTCCTCATTGTTATGATGGGTTGGTAGGACTTAGTGAGTTGGCAGGATGCCTCATATGTATTAAACTAGGTGATAAACATGGCACACAGTAGGCACCCAATTATTGGGAGCTGTGGCTACCAGCAATGAGTGAGGTGGAGTTGGAACGTGGGCAGGCAGCCTGGCCATGTGCAGTCCCACAGGGTATGGCTGGCACTGACCATGCATGGTGGGTGGGGTGAGCTTGGGTGGGGGTCAGTTAGAGGCCCTGGTCTGTCGCAGGCGCGGGCAGCGTGTGACTCCTAGGAAGGCTTAGCAGCTCATGCTCATTAATTCATTAATCACCTAAGCGGGGCTCAGCATTCTTCAGATGCCAACTGGGGCCAGGGAGGGGCCTGGGATGGGGGCTCAGAGACCCCACAGTGCTGGGGTACTGGAGGTGAAGACAGCCCCTCCATCTTCAGAGTTCCCGCTGTGTGTATTGCATTTTATGATCCATACCTTTACAGTTTTACAGCCACCACAATTGCTCCAAGAAACAGCTGTCCACTCCCGTCTTCCTAAGGAGGATACTAAGGCCCAAAGAGAGTATGGCCTCCTTGAGGTCACACAGCAGGCTGAGTTGGGTGGGATTTGTCCTGACCAACCTGAGCCCTGTTCCTAGGACTCCCTCAAGGAAAGACTTGGGGTGCTAACCCAAGAGTTGAGACTCTAGATCAGTGGTTCACAACCCTTCTAATACTCTGACCCTTTAATATATTTCCTCATGTTGTAGAGACCCCTAACCATAAAATTATTTCGCTGCTACTTCATAACCGTAATTCTGTTACGGTTATAATATAAATATCTAACATACAGGATATCTGATATGCAGCCCCTGTGAAAGGGTCATCCACCCCACAGGGGTTGAGAATCACTGCTCTAGAGGGTCGTTCCTGCCTCAGTGGAGCTGGCCGCTGGGTGGGGTGTCCTCTGCTATCGGAGTTGACACATCTCTCACGTCAGCCCCCTTATCACCCTCCCTTTGGCTGCCCCACAAGGTGACCCTGGGAGAGGAAAAGCCATCACCACCCCCTCTCTTCCCTTGCCATGCCCAGGAGCCCTGAGTTGCATTTCTTTGTCCTTCCCCTTCATGGGGCTGAGGCCACTGGAGGAAAGCAGGCAGGCAGGTGGAGGATAGAGGAGTGCTGGCCACTTTCCCTTCCTATGCGAAGCCAGGACTTACTGTGCCTCTCTCATCCTCTGTCTCCTCTGGGGAGTCGGGGCTGAGCTCCCCACTTCCAGCACAGAGGCAGTGGACCTAACCACCAGAGGTGGGCCACACTGGCACTACCGATCTCGGTCCCTAGCTCTTCCTGAAGCTGGAGCCCTGGGGTACCGTGGTTCCTTGAATTCCTGGGCCCCGGGGTATGTGCTTTGCCTAGCCAGACCTCATGTCTCCACGTGCTCAAGGCTGGGTCTCCTGGAAGGACAGGGCAGGAAAGTCACTCTGGGTCTATGCTGCTGAGGTGGTAAGGCCTTGCTTGCTCCTCAGAGCACTCTGTAAGATAGAGGGACAGATGAGAGGGATGGGGATGATCCTGTCACTTAGCCAGAGAAAGGATGTGGAAGGACAAGAGTGGTTTGTCCCCAACTCCATACATTAGGCCTTTGACCTCCTGGGAAACAGGTTACCCTTGAGGGTTGGGGGCAGGCATTATTTTTAGAGGGGCATCAGGGTGGACAGTGATGGACCATGCATAGAAGGGAGCTGGGTCACATGTTTCAGAACGTAACCTGAGGAGGACTGGTGGGCTCTAGGCCTGGGATCTTCAGAGAGCTGTTTCAAATCCAGCTGCCTCTGCTTTGTAGGTCATGACATCAGTGGTGCCCTGGAGCCCTCCAATATAGACACCAGTATCCTGGAGGAGTACATTGGCAAGGAGGATGCCGCTGATCTGTGAGTCACCTCAGCTGAGACTTCTGGGCAGTTCCCTGTGGGAAGGGATGGAACTTCCCCTTCTGCCTGGGGACCTGGGGGCTGAGCCTCCTCCCTTCCCCACAGCTGCTTCCCTGACATCTCTGCACCAGCCAGCACAGCCTCCTTCCCCCACGGGCCACCAGCCATCCCCGGCTCCAGCGGGCTCCACCATCTGAGCCCCCCTGGGAGTGGACCATCCCCCGGGCGCCATGGCCCCCTCCCACCCCCGACCTACGGCACCCCACTCAACTGCAACAACAACAACGGCATGGGCACTGCCCCCAAGCCCTTCCTGGGGGGCTCTGGGCCTCCCATCAAGGCAGAGCCCAAGGCTCCCTATGCCCCAGGGTGAGTGGGGCAGGGAGTGGGTGGGGTCAGGATACAGGGGCACAGTGGCCACTGTCTGGCCTATGTTGGCCTATGGACTCACAGTGGGTAGGGCTTAGATGACAGGCTCCCTTATGGGTAGGTTCCAACAGGGGTGACACCAGGCTGATAGGAGACTTATGTGCTTTGTCCTGAGGCCATGAACAGTCACCAGGGTTCTAAGAACAGTGAAGAAGGTAGTGCTAGAAAAATCTCAAAGCAATGATGGGACAGAAGCAGATCGACTTGGGGCCCCAATCAACACTGACAGGAACCCGAGCACACTCCCATGCCCCATCTACCCATGGATCGAGCTCTTTCTGTGTCCTGAGAGTTGCCAGTACCTCAGGCATAGCATACCTTTTAGAGCCAAGGTAGTTACATCCTGGGGGGGGGAGCTTCACTCTGCCAGCTTCTACCATTTCTCTCCACAACTGACCATTGTGCCTGGCTTTGGCCACCTGCAGCCACAGCCCAGCCAGCCTCCAGACCCTGTGGTTCTCAGCCTTCCTAATGCTGTGATCCTTTTATGCAGTTAATCAGGTTGTGATGACCCCAACCATAATTCCTTGCTACTTCATAACTGTGATTTTCTGTTATGAATTGTAATGTAAATATATGGTGTGCAGAATATCTGCTATGTGACCCCCCCCCGGAAAGGGTCATTTGACACCACCCCCACCCCAACCCCCCCCCCCGGGTCACAACCCACAGGTTGAGAGCCATTGCTTAAGAGCATGCTCAAGGGGAAATGTCCACCAGGCTCTCCACAGACCTCAGCGAAGCAGGGCAGAAGTTTGTCTTTAGGGAGAAGGCTACAAGGAGCATAGATGATGCAGTGAATGGCACCAGCCCAGTCTCCCATTTGTCAGCTCCTGGGCTTGGTGGCCCACGACCTCTGCCAGCGACTAGGTTTCTTCACCTTTCACATGAGGTGGAAACTAAGTGGGGGAAAGTAGAGAGGAATTATTGGGTTGATATATTTGACACGTTGTGAGTGGGGACTCCTGAGGACCTGGCTTAGGGTGACTGTAGTGGAGGCCAGGTGTAAACCTTGGTTGCTTGAGGGTGTGTCTAAGCCTGAGCTGCCTGAGGGTAGAGGGGAGAGAGAGCTAAGGGTTGGCAGGCACAAGTGAGCTCTTGGTGGCCCCTGCAGAGCTTGTTCAGGGCCACGTGGGCATCCTGGTGTAGGTAGGCATTGTTCGAGGCCATAAACAAGACTGGCATGTCCCCCGTAATGGGTGGTGAGGAAGGTATCGATGCATTACATTGAGGGCGCTGCCCTGGCGTGGGGGACTTTCTAGTGTACATGGCCCTGGAATCCCTGTCCAGCACTATAAAAATAAAATAATACACCACCAAACGGGAAATAACAAGTGAGACTAGGAAAGAATGCAGGGTCATGTGAGCCGGGACATTTGATGGCAGGGACTAGAGGGTGTGAAAGATCGGAAGAACACTGTTAGGAGGTCCAGGGGCCAGGTGGGAGATGGACTTGGAGTGGGACTGAGCTGGATCAGCACAGACTGAGCCATAGTGAGGGGTCTGAGGCCCTACCCTATCTACTTTTCCATGTTGTCCTTGGGAAACCTGTTTGGGGATCCACATTTTTATTTGCAATTCTTGGTTTTGAGGTTTTTGTCTTGTTGGTTTTTTTTTTTTTTTTTTTTTTTTTTTTTTGAGACAGGGTTTCTCTGTATTGCTTTGGAGCCTGTTCTGGAACTAGCTCTGTAGACCAGGCTGGCCTAGATCTCACAGAGATCCGCCTGCCTCTGCCTCCCGAGTGCTGGGATTAAAAGCGTGCACCACCAATGCCCAGCTAGGTTCTTGGTTTTGAACTCAGGAACTCTTCATGCATGCTAGGCGAGTGCTCAACCACTGGGCTACATCCTGCTCCCCCCTTTCACTTTTTGAGACAGGTTCTCACTAAGTTGTTCAAGCTAGCCTTAAACTTATTCTAAGCCCGGACAGGTCTTGAACGAACTAGTGATTCTTGGTCTTGAGCCTCCTGGGTAGCTTGGGGTATAAATCTGCACCAGATTCCAGATCCTTATTCTTGAACCAATTTCAGAAATATAATGAGGCCTCCATAAGCAGGGGTGGGGGTGGGGTGGAGGAGAGTGGGCATGGCTTGTCCAGGGATGCAGTAAGATTCTACAGTCAGAGCAGGGATGTGTCTGGTGGTCCTTGGGCATGGTAGAGGGGAGTCTCTCCAGATGCGGGCATGAGAGATGACAAAAAAGTCAGATTCCCTGGGCAGCCACAGTCTCTCTGGGCAAGTATGTGGTTTGTACAGGACATGTTGACCTCTGGGCTTGAGTTTGTTCTTTTGCCTGAACCACTGATAAAATAAAACTTGCAAGGAAAAAAAACAAAAAAACAAAAAAAACCAAGCCTAGGCCCAGAAAATCTGGCTCCCTGCCCAGTTCACACCCTGATGGTTCACACCTGCCTCTGGCAAGGCAACTCCTGGTGACCCACTGAACCACCTCAGACCCAGCACCCCCAGGTCCTAGGATTTTCAGGAGGCTGAAGGCTTCGGTGGGTGCCGAAGGGAGGCGGAGGCCTGGCCCTCCTTCTGGGGAGGGGGTGTGTGTCCTTTATCCCCAAGCCTCCATCAGAGACCTGGCCACTGACCCACAAAAAAACCATTATTGGGTCTGGAAATCTAGGGCAGGATCCCAAAGTCCTTCACCCACAGTTAAGCCCTGGATCCTTCCAGGGCTCTAGGATAGGTGGGCAGAGATACTCTGGGGTATTTGTGAGGAGATCTCAATGGTAAAGTGTGGCGGTGTGTGTGTGTGTGTGTGTGTGTGTGTGTGTGTGTGTGTGTGTGTGTGTGTGTGTGAAGGGATGGGGGGGGCAGGTGTTGGTCTTTGCAACCCTGTCCACCAGAGGAGCTAGCTGCCTGGCTTGAGGGTTGGGTCTGGAGGTTCACCTGCTGGCCCAACAGTCTCCTTCCTCCACCCCACCCCCTGCAGCACACTGCCAGACTCGCCCCCAGACTCAGGCTCTGAGGCCTACTCCCCTCAGCAGGTGAATGGTGAGTCCAGCGGGCAGCGCCACCCTCCCCCTCTGGGTTTGGGCAAGTGGTTGGTGCAACCTTATCAGGGAGAGAGGGAGGAGGGAGGGAGGGGGCCAGCGGCTGCCCAACGGGCCAGATTATCGCTGGTCAAATACTCCTCGGCGCTGGGTATTGTTCCCTCATGGGCGGGCAGGGAGCCTGGTCTTGCTTCAGAGCAAGTGTCCCTGCTGGTGATGCCACCGTCTGGCCCTCTGCGCCATCATGGATGCGCCCTTTGGCGGTAAGTGGACAGCTGAGGAAAGCTGCTGCCCGGCCCACCTTTACAGAGCCCTGGGGGGCACACTGGCCCCCATGTGGCCAAGAGTAGAATGATCATGGGCAGACTGAAGAGGGGTCAAGAGTTCTGTTTATCCTACCAAAACATCCCTGGAATGCTTCCTGAGGAACAAAGGAAGCTGCAGCCCCCTCAGGCTGGGGGACTGGCCCCTGGAACCTGGAGCGGAGCGGGGCTGCTGGAGGGAGGAGGCTGGGTGGGGGACTGGGCTGGGGTCTCCGGGAGACTCCTTCTTCCGGCTTCAATGGAATGAGACTGGGGATCTCCTGAGGGGCTTGGCCTACAGCTTAGGGGAGAGAGTTGGCTAGGATGGGGAACCACCCTTTCATAGTCTGACTTCCCTGCTCGAACTCTAATAGCTGGTTTCCCAGCCTCCCCACCCAGCCTCTGGCATGACTCAGGAGGGTACGGAAGCAAGACCGTGCCTAGGGAGAACGGGTGAGGTGGGTCTCTGACTCCTGTCCCCATCTCTTTCTCAGACCCCCATCTTCTGCGTACCATAACCCCGGAGACTCTGTGCCACGTGGGAGTTCCTTCCCGACTGGAGCACCCGCCCCCACCTCCAGCCCACTTGCCAGGCCCCCCACCACCCCCGCCACCCCCAGCTCACTACCCTGTCATCCAGCGTGACCTGTACATGAAGGCTGAGCCCCCTGTACCCCCCTATGCTGCCATGGGGCCGGGTCTGGTGCCCCCCGAACTCCACCACTCCCAGCAGACTCAGGTGCTACACCAGCTGTTGCAGCAGCATGGAGCTGAGTAAGGCTTGGGCATAGCCTCCTTGACAGGAAGGTGGGGTCGGAGTCAGGGGTCAAGAGCAGGGGAGACAGGGAGCCCTAGGAGTGGTGCTCAAAGGGCCTACAGCCTTAGCTGGCTGGTGACAGCTACCCCATTCACAGATGGGTAAATTGAGGTTCTAAGAAAAGAACATAGTTTTCCCAGGTCATGGACTAGGAAAGGGCAGAGCCAAGACTTGAAACTGGAGCTGAATTCAGAAAGTCCAGACCCCAGTGCCTTTCTCCCCACTTACTGAAATCCTTACATTTCTGAAGGTGACTATTGCAGAATGCTCTGTGTGACACAGATGCTCTTTGGAGGCACAGACTCTGCCCTCCAGGATTCCCTAGGGGTAGGGGTAAGACTGTGGCAAAGACTCTTTAGAATGGGAACACTGAGTGACACTGAGTGATAAAGTACTAGGGAAGGTACCCGAGGGCTTCCTGTGGGAAGTGTCTTCCTGGCTGGGCATTGCCTGCTGCAGTGGTGCCCAGGGGAGAGGGGTTGGCGCTGCACAGGAGAAGGCTCAGGGAGGGAGAGCCAGCCCCATGGTACTCACCTCTGCTCCCTAGGCTCCCACCACACCCCTCCAAGAAGAGGAAGCACTCTGAATCACCCCCCAACACCCTCAATGCCCAAATGCTGAATGGAATGATCAAGCAGGAACCTGGAACTGTGACAGCCCTGCCCCCACACCCTGCCAGAGCTCCGTCCCCGCCATGGCCTCCCCAGGGCCCGCTGTCACCTGGGGCTGGCTCCTTGCCCCTCAGCATTGCCCGAGTCCAGACTCCACCTTGGCACCCACCAGGTGCACCCTCCCCAGGTAGGTGACTGACATTGATGCTGGTGAGTGGGAACCCCAGGCTCAGATCTGACCTAGTGTCCCCTCCCTTCAGGCCTCCTGCAGGACAGTGATAGCCTCAGTGGCTCCTATCTGGACCCCAACTACCAGTCCATCAAGTGGCAGCCGCATCAGCAGAACAAGTGGGCAACCCTGTATGATGCCAACTACAAGGAGCTGTGAGTGATCGGTGCCACCTAGCCACCTTGTCTTGGGACAGCTTAGGACCCCATTGAGGTCCTAAGTCAGGGCCTGGGAGTGCTCCGGGTGTAAAAGAATCACATTTGACAGAAGAGCCAACAAGCTCAGGGAATAATTAGGCCCAGGGCTCAGACTTCAGGGCCTCTGGTCAACCCAAGTCTCTCTAAAGGTCTCTACCAGGGAGGGGCCATGGGAGCCAGGTCAGGAAGAAGTGGGTGGAGGCGTGTCTTCTGGGCCCTCCTCCAGGTTCTCCTTCTACATTCCAGGAAGGTAGCCTGAAGCTTAGCATAAGCTGGACCCTTACAGCAGCCCCCCTCTCTGTGGAGGGAGGAGGAGTAGGGGGGACTAGGGGTGCAGCTCCCAGGGCCTTCTGTTCCTTCCTCAATACCACATGGATCTAGCTTCCCAGGCCCCTGGCCAAGAGCCCAGTGGGGACCACCCTCTTTCCTCCCCTAAAAGGCAGGCATGTCAGAGGGTGACGCCTCTCAATGTACTTTGGACTTAGCCAAACAGAAGCTAAATGACTGGGGCTCTCTTGTCAGAACAGTAGCTGAGACAGGCTTTCTGGAGTGGAATTTCTATCCGGTAGCACTAAGGGCTGGGTTGGGTGGGATGCCCAGTTGTGATGGCCGTGATCTAGAGGACAGTTACAGGATCTGGTCCCTATGGCCTGGAGAGAAGTCCCTCTGCTCACCCCTCCATACTCCTTGGGCACTTGCTATCTCCTTACCCCAGGCCCCAAGGCCGAGAGCTAGCAGCGGAGGAGTACCTGTTTCAGGTATTTTCTTAGGTCATACAGGTGGGTGAGCCCTGCGAGAGAGAGAAGGCGAGACCAGGCCTTCCCTTGGACCTTGCTCATGGGTGGGGAAACCCCCAGCCCCACCCCATCCACTTTCCTGTGGGCATGAGCGGGTTCCTCTAATGTGGGGTAACTCAGGGGCGGGTGAGTCAAGTCCTAAGTCAACAAGCGCTCTCTTTACTGCCCCTGGAGGTGCACTAAAGGCTCCAGACACTGTCTCCCGAGACAGATGGCAAGCTTCAGCTGTTCCTGAGGGGGAGGTCAGAAACCAGAAGTACTCCCCTCTCTCTGGGGCAGTTGCGGGAGTCAGAATGAGGGCACTGGGGGCCTTGAGCAGGGGGTGGGCCACAGTGGGTCAGGGTGGGCCCAGGGCAGAGCTGGCTCCTGGTTCCACCGTTTCCATGACAACCAGCTGTCAGACACAATGAGACTCTGCAGATGCAGCCCCTCTCATCCCATCTCCCACAAGGGAGGGGGCTTCAGGCAATGTGTGGGAAATGGGTAAGTGTGCCGAAGGGTGGCCAAGGCCTTCCTCTAGAGTCCCCTCACTTCTGGTGGGCCTTTACAGCCTTGGCTTGCTTCCTTCATCACAGCATGTGCCTGGGTGGCCCCAGGCACAAAAGGAAAAACCTTGTGCAGCTCCTCATGGGGGCTCAGTCTCCAGGCTAGAACTGACCTGACCCCTGGGTGGTTTGAGAATAAGTAATGGCATTGGAACATGGCCCTGTAAAAGGAAGCAATGGTCCCCATTTAGCTTGGGGACCACTGATGAGCCTCCACTTCTAGGCCTATGCTCACCTATCGTGTGGACGCTGACAAGGGCTTCAACTTTTCGGTGGGTGACGATGCTTTTGTGTGCCAGAAAAAGAACCACTTCCAGGTGACGGTGTACATCGGCATGCTGGGTGAGCCCAAGTATGTTAAGACGCCGGAAGGCCTCAAGCCGCTCGACTGCTTCTACCTGAAGCTGCATGGAGTGAAGGCAGGTTTGGGGTTCGGCTTGGAAGGGAGAACAGGAGGGCCAGGAAAGCTCTAAGATGCAAGTGATGAAGAAACACCCCACAGCTATAACCAGGGCTGCCCCACCGCGCCACCTCTTCTAGTGCCAGCCACCTAGGTGTGGGGCTCCTTAGACCTCACCTTCTCTCTTAAGCCTTGCTTCCCCCCCACACACACACACCTCAAGTCTTCATCTCCAAGCCAAGACCCATCTTCTGGCCCTCTAACGGACGCCCCAGCTCTCAGAACCAAACCAAACTCCCTGCCACTTGTCCCTCTTCCCTGCTGGTTGGGGCTACTCAAGCCATATATGCAGGGACCCTCCTACCCTCAGCTTTGGAGGCTCTGGGGTAGCCCTTACCTCCTCCTCTGCCTCTCCCTTGGCCTGAGTCACTCTCATCCCATGTCTGAATATCCAATCAGCTTCTACTTTGCCTCCGGTTCCCATGACACATGTGGCTGCAAGACACCCCTTCCTTCCCAAGTGTCTTCCCGCTGCCTTCTAAGCTGCCACAAGGGCCTTAGAAATCCACCCCTGTGTGCGCTGTGTCCCACATTGGCACTCCCGGAGTCCCATCCCAGCATTCTATCCCATTCCTCTTGGCAGACTCCATCCTGATGCCCCTCTGGGAAACCTGCCCTGAGGCCCTTTGTGACTGAGGGGTTCCATAGCACAGCCACTGGAGCCCATGAGCTCCCTGGGGACGAGACAAGGTGTGTCTGATTCTGTCACAGTGTGCTTGGCATGTTGGCATGGCTCAGTCACTGTTTCTGAAGAGATGAGAGGATGTGGGCATATGAGTGCGTGCATGCGTGCGTGCGTGTGTGTGTGCGTGCGTGCGTGCGTGCGTGCGTGCGTGCGTGCGTGCGTGTGTGTGTGTGTGTGTGTGTGTGTGTGCGCGCGCGCCTGCGTGCTGGATGCAGGTGAGAGGAGTGTGGCGGTATGGGTCATAAAACTAACTGGAAAACACGTGGGCATGCATGGAGAAGTTAGGGAGGCAGATGACACGGTGCTGTGTTGCCACCTTGGATGTGGCCATACACTGCCATACAGAAGTAGGGGAAGTAATGAAGTGCGAGCTGACATGAAGCCTAGGTGTATGTCATTGAAATGTCTTGGGAGTGTGGAGTGTGCATGCAGAAGCCCCTGAGTCTGTGAGAAAGTGAGATGGGGGCAGAATTCTGCTGCAGACCAGGGAGAGGGTATGGAGGAGGAAAGACTCGGTGCTGAACCTTGTCCTGAGGTGCCCCGGGCCTATTCCTCTCCAGCTAGAGGCCCTGAACCAGTCTATCAACATTGAACAGTCACAGTCAGATAGAAGCAAGAGGCCCTTCAACCCTGTCACGTGAGTATCCAGCCCCGTGGGCATGGTGCCCGTCCTAGAACTGGCTTAGGAGCTAGAGAGACAGCCCCCTTTTCGGCTCCCTGAGCATTCTGCCATCCTCTACAGGGTCACTCTTCCCCCTGAGCAGGTCACAAAGGTGACCGTGGGGCGGCTCCATTTCAGTGAGACCACTGCCAACAACATGCGAAAGAAGGGCAAGCCCAACCCTGACCAGAGGTGAGCAAGCCCTCCCTTCTGAGGAGCAGGGAGGAAAGGGACCTCCTTGGAACACGCCAGGCGCAGGGGCCACAGAGGCCTGTTTCCTCAAGGGGAACTTGCGGTTCAAACTACTTGGCAGATTTAGGGACTCAGACTCAGAAGGCTGGCTTTTGAGTTCAGAAACAGTTCTGGGGCTCCTACTGGTGGACCAGAGAGGAATTTTGCCCCCTAGTGGGCGCTCATGCTTCTCCTCTGTGTGATACTGTGATAACTCCACCTCCTGGGGGTGTGACGACAGAGTGGGGCTATGTACCCAGGCATCTGGCCCAGGGAGGATGGCTAGCGGCACCCCTGAGTGTTACTGAGTCCCCGGTGTATCCCAGGTATTTCATGCTGGTGGTGGCCCTCCAGGCACATGCACAGAACCAGAACTACACACTGGCAGCCCAGATCTCAGAGCGCATCATTGTGCGGGTGAGAGTCATCTCCCCCCAAGGGCAATACCTCCCCCCCCCCCAGCTGGAAGAAATAGCATCAGGAAAATACCTCGGAATGGGGTCGGGTTGATGTGCATCTCTTGTTGGGCACTGGCAGTGTGGCCTTGGGCGTTGTCACCCTATCTGGGCCTCAGGGCCGCCTTCACTGTAAAACATGAAGGTGGATACCCTAGTATCCTCCTGGGTCCCATAAGTAACTCAATGTTGTCACAATGAATAGAGCTATTGATTGGATGTGGTGGGGCCAGGAGACTTGACGAGGAAGGGTGTTCCTGGGGTTTCCCCTTTTCTCAGGGCCCCAAAGCTCCTCCAACTCCAGGACTGATCTAGATCCAATTTGCCATAGGCCTCTAACCCAGGCCAGTTTGAGAGTGACAGTGACGTCCTGTGGCAACGGGCACAGCTGCCAGACACCGTCTTCCACCATGGCCGTGTGGGCATCAACACAGACCGGCCAGATGAGGCACTGGTTGTGCATGGCAATGTCAAGGTCATGGGATCCCTCATGCACCCTTCAGATTTGCGGGCCAAGGAGCATGTGCAGGAGGTAGGGATGAGTCCACAGGTGAAGGGCAGAGCTGTGGGTGATGAGTAGGACCAGTGGGAAGGACCAGGATGCTAGGGTAGGGGTGGGGAGCCTGACTCTGTACCTCAGTACCAGGGTGTCCCTTCTACACTGCAGCCTCAGGCTGCCATCCGACTGTTCCTGAGGTCTATTCTGGATGGCAGCAGGAGGGGAGGATGGTTCAGCGTCAGCTCTATCCTCTGGCAGGTGGACACCACGGAGCAGTTGAAGAGGATCTCTCGCATGAGGCTAGTGCACTACAGATACAAGCCCGAGTTCGCTGCCAGTGCAGGCATTGAGACCATGGCGCCAGAGACAGGTAGAGATGTGCCTGTGTCCCCAAGCTCTGGCCAGTCTGTCCTGTCTCTTGGAACCTGTTCCCAGAAACCCTGGCAGTGACCTTTGGAGTTCCACACTCTGAAATATTGACCCCTCTGCGACTGAAATATTATGCCTCCCAGGTCTTTGGATCCCTACCCCTGGACTCATCATCCTAAGAGTCGCCTGGCCTGAAATCTTTGTCACACAGCATTCAGAGATTTTTTTCATCCTCTCAGAACCCCACCTTCTTCTCCTAAGATACTGATAGGATCCTACCTACCCCACAAATCTCACATCTCGTGCCTAAGAGCCTCTAGACTGTGAACAATTGTCTGAGGAAGCCCCTGCTCAGGGCTCCTCAAAAGTCAGCTCTCAGGTACTTCCCCAGAAAGCCACGAGCAGCTATGGTGCAGGACCCCAAGCTGTACACTCTTTGCTTGTCCCCAGGTGTCATCGCACAGGAAGTGAAGGAGATCTTGCCTGAGGCTGTGAAAGACACAGGAGATGTCGTCTTTGCCAACGGGAAAACCATAGAGAATTTCCTGGTGGTGAACAAGGTCAGTTGTGGGGAACTAGAGGAAGCTCTGGCACAGAGGGGCAGGCAGGCTGGGGGCACTGGTAGGCAGAGGGAGGAAAGAAGGGCAGAGTCCCTGCCCACCACACAGGAAGAGGGCCAGTGTTCAAGACGGAGGGGGAGTTAACCACTGAAGGCTGTCTGGTACAGTGCAGGATGAGTCCCCCTGAGAGTATACGCCACAACCCCCATCAATTAAAAGAGGGTAACACAATGTGTCACCTAGTTGCCTCAAGGCTTGAAGGTGTGCTTCCATTACACAGGTAACGTATGACACATTTCACCTACCTGAGGGAGTAGGTCCAAGGGCTGGAGCTCTGATCTGAGAGAGGCAAGGTTGTTTAGGTAGACAGTTAGCCTAGGCAGGAGGCAGCAGACATGCTGTGTGAACCAGAGTGTGGCTGGAGCAGAGGCCACCTCCAGGCAGGGATATTTCTAGGGCCCCTGTTGGCTGTGAAGAGTGGGGATTCCGCTCCTGCTCCTATCCAACCCACAACTTGGAGGCTTCTTGGGCCGATGGTGCCCTCAAGGCTGTTGTTGCCCTGGGGCAGGAGAGGATCTTCATGGAGAATGTGGGGGCTGTGAAGGAGTTATGCAAACTGACAGACAACCTGGAGACTCGCATCGATGAGCTGGAGCGCTGGAGCCACAAACTGGCCAAACTGCGGCGCCTTGACAGCCTCAAGTCAACCGGCAGCTCTGGAGCTTTCAGGTGGCGGTACGGGGTGGGGTGGGGTGGGGGGCAGAAGAGACCTCTTCTGGAAAGCATCCTGACCCCTGTCCTCTGTACTGTAGCCATGCAGGGAGCCAGTTTAGTCGGGCAGGCAGTGTCCCCCACAAGAAGAGGCCCCCTAAGGTGGCCAGCAAGGTGAGACTGCAGGGTTGGGGGGCTCATAGGGCCAGGGCTTCCTCATCGCCCTGGCCTCTCCCTTCCAGCACCACTCCAACCTAGACTCTAGCTCTAACCCCTCCTCTCCCCACTCTTGATCGTGTAGCCCTTTTCTGCTTCCTTTCTCTCTGACCATGAAGAATGGGGATAGGGAGATTGGGCAGGGAAGTGGTGTTCCTGAGCCCACCATCTTCTGCTATGTTCTTTCCTCTTGGTCCCCAGTCATCACCAGTGATCCCAGACCAAGCCTGCATCAGCCAGCGTTTCCTGCAGGGAACCATCATTGCCCTGGTGGTGGTCATGGCCTTCAGGTAACTTGTCTCAGGTTCTGGGGAGACTGGCTTAGAGAGCAGAGCTACCTATCCAGTGGGTCAGATGTGCCTGGGTCCAGGCCCTGGAGTTAGGGAGGACTATGGAATGGGGATCGAGCAGCTGAAGTCAGGGAAGGTGGGCTGCCTAGTCTAGGAAGGCCTATGTGCAGATATCACCTGGGAAGACCACAGAGTCTGCCATAGAGAGACAGTGTTGGGTGGTGGCTTGCCTTCAGACAGTGACCCTTTTCTGTGGCTCCCAGCGTGGTGTCCATGTCCACCCTGTATGTGCTGAGCCTGCGCTCTGAAGAGGACCTGGTGGATGCTGATGGGTATGTCCCATGTTGCTAAGCCCTCAGGCCAGACAGGACTAATGGAGGGTGGACTGGGTCAGAGACATCTCTGTCTAATGGCTTATAGCCTACCAGAGCCTGTTGGGGAGGGAGGGGAGGTCTCCTATATAGTGAGTGCTTTCTACAGGCCCTCCCTGGCCTGCTCAGTACTCCTCAAGTAGGCTGTCTGGAAGGCACTTGTAGGAAAAAGAGTGCTGGAGAGGAGGGCCAGAGCAGGGCTCTGTCTGTCACTGTCCCATCCCAGCTCCTGGGGCTACCTCTGACTGTGTCTTTTCTCTCTCCTTCCCTGCCCATCTCCCTCCTGGTCTCTCTGTTGTCTCTTAGCTCTTTTGCCGTGTCCACTTCCTGTCTCCTGGCCCTGCTCCGGCCCCAGCATCCTGGGGGGAGAGAGGCCATGTGCCCATGGTATGTGTCTTACCAAGCACCCCTCCCTCCTCTGGCTCCTGCTTCTACTCCACACTCCCTCTCCACCACCTCCTGCCCACCCCTGCTTCTCTGGGACTCCCAGCCCCCACCCCTGGCTCTCCCAGTGCCTCTGAGCTCAGCCCACCCTTCCTTAGCAGGTCCAGCCAGAGCTTTGGAACCACGCAACTCCGACAGTCCTCTGTGACCACTGGAATGCCAGGCACACAGCCCTCTTTGCTGCTGGGTGTGTGTCTGGAGGGATGAGGGGGGGCAGGTGGCTGGGTATGGGACTTCAGTGTCCTCCAGCTCACACAGCTTCTGGCCTCCTCAGTCACCAGTTCGGCCTCAGGTCGCGCTCTCCGTGTCTTGGACCTGTGCTCTGGCCAGCCCTGCCCCATGGTCTGCTGCTCCACTCCCTCCTCCAGTCCTGTTACAGATCCTAGCCTTGGCCCCACCGTTATCCCTTCTGCAAGCCCCAAGCCCAGCCCCAACCACTCAGGTATGGATGTTTTAGGGGCAGGGCCAGAGTTGGCAGGGGTGTTTGGTATTATCAGCATCCAGAGAAAGGCCCCAGAGAGAAGATGGGAGGGATTCCTGAACTGGAGATTGGGGGATAAGCCCAAGGGAACCAGAAAACACAAAAGGGTTCCCAGAAGCCCGCCACAGAAGGCTAGCGGTTCCCCTTTTCTCAAGGTATCTTTGCTTCTGTCTGTAGGCCCCAGCCAGATGGCCCCGCTGCCAGTCACCAACATCAGAGCCAAATCCTGGGGCATTTCAGCTAATGGCATCGGCTATTCCAAGCACTCCAAGAGCCTGGAACCTCTAGCCAGTCCTGTGGTCCCCTTTCCTGAGGGGCAGAGCAAGACCAAGAACAGCCCCAGCCTCGGTCTCCACAGTCGTGCTCGCAGAGGAGCCCTTCAACCCAGCCCAAGCCCTGCCCAACTCACTCAGACCCAGGGCCAGCTAGGTACTTGCCCCTGTCAACACCTCTTAGCGGCCCGGCCACAGGGCTGCCTGGGCACAGGATTGGCAGTGAGCAGACCCTGGTAATCAGGCAAAAGCCCTTTGTAGGTCATGCCATTTAGTCTTCACAGCATGGATAAGGAGTTACCTCAGTAGATAGCAGTTACTTTGGAAGCATGAAGACCAGAGTTTAATCCCTAGAATGAACCAGGTGTGGTGGCACACACTTGTAATCCCAGTGATAGCAAGATGGAGGCAGGGACAGACAGATCCCTGGACCTCACTGGACAGCTAGCCTTGCCTATTTGATGAAGTTCCAGCTAATGAGAAACCTTATCTCAGACAAATGGAAGAAGGCACTGTTGCCATGGTGAAGATGAGGAACCAGAGACTGAGGTGAAGGGTCATATATATAGCCCATCAGCAGTGAGCATAGAATTCTGTCTTCACTTGGCCAAATTCCAGGTTATGTTTACTTTGTCTCTGTGCCAGGGTGGAGAGGGTGAGGACTAGGATCTTAACCGCAGATCTTTCGTTTTAACTAAGATAGGACTCCTTTTAGCACTGAAGTGCCCTTCGGACTCCCCAAGCCTTAACCAGTGCCTCCACAGAGATGTGGGCTTCCTCACTTTGACCCTGTGACTGTACAGACAGGCAGATGTTCAGAGTGGTGGAGCGACCCTAGGGTGGGGAGCTCAGCTCAGCTCCATGGGTGCTGGACACGTGCACGGCTCTGCCTGAGTGTACAGAGGTGAGGACATCTCAAAGTGATAGGTCCCAGGAGTAGGGAGGAAACTTAGCCTAGGACGACCACGGAGGGAAGCAACTAGAGAAGGCTTCCCTAGAGGAGGTGACATTGAGCCATCTTTGAAAGACATCCGGGGTTTGCCTGAAAAGGAAGCCATCTTGTCTGTACCAAGTGGCTTCACTGGGTATTGTGGATGCTGCTGGAGACCTTGGGTTTGTACCTTAAAGAACTGAACATGTACCAGGTCAAGCAAATGTTCAGAGATCAGGACCATAGCCTCCCACTTCCAGGGTAAAGGACTAGGCGGTAGCAAGCCCGAGATGTTGAGATGAACATACATCCTCAATTCTGCACTGCATGTTATGCCCCAGTAACGGGTTTGCTCAGCGAGGGCCACATGCTGGAGGCAGCCTAGCTCTAGTTGTGTGTGCTGCTCTTCTGCCTTTCCGTGGCTGCCAGGGCGACCACCACTGAGCCCAGGGCTGAGGAGAAGTGTGTGTGATCAGGAGCGGAGGCCCACGAAGAGGTTCCTGTACATTGCTAGTCTGGGAAAGACCTCTACCCACTTCTGAGTATCTTGGTTCTGTGGAGACAGCCCTTAGGCTCATGGGAACTAGCTGTTTCTAGGGCAGCTGGGAGGAGGGTGTGGTGTGATCCTGTTGTGAGGGCCTGGAAAGAATTCTTACTGGCACTGAGGTGTAAGTCCTAGTGTGCTGGCATTTGCATTCCACCTTGTCCCCTTTCTCATCACCCAACAGCCTCTCTTCTTACAGACCCAGTGCCATCCCTGAGCTCCATCCAGCTGCTGGAGAATTCCATGCCTATTACTTCCCAGTATTGTGTGCCAGAGGATGCCTGCAGGTAGGCTGGACTCCCTCCTGTCACTCCTTGAGGGCCTCTGATGCTTAGATCTTGGCTCTTTGGGGAGGAACTTTTCCCACAGGTCCAGGGAGCCCCTTTCCAGGTTCCCAGGGGCTTTTCGGTACAGAAGGCTGAGGAGGCAGGGAGACTGGCAAAGCGGCCTTGCTGAGGTACCACCATCTTTGCCCCTTTAGGCTTGGAAACTTCACCTACCACATCCCTGTGAGCAGCAGCACCCCACTGCACCTCCGCCTGACCCTGCAGATGAAGTGAGTGCTGGTGTGGGGGACCAAGAGGAAGCCTCCAGAGCCTCAGAAATGTCAAAGTGTTCCCTGTATTTCTTACCTGGAGGGCCCAGGCTGCCTGAGGAAGGGCTGCAGAGAGACACTGCTGCTTGGGGTTAAGTTGCTATAAGACCTTGCCTCGCTGGAACTACATGGGATGGTGGGAGGGGTTTTGTCCATTCCAAGCCCTGGACTATTCTATGTGGTTCTCAGGTTTTGTGAAGCTATGGCTTGTCTTAGGTAGGGCTGGGCTGTGTGGGAGACGGGGGAGCTACAGCTACTCAGATGGGAAGCCTATTCCATTAACCTATCTATTCCCCAGTTCCTCCACCCCTGTATCTGTGGTATTGTGCAGCCTGACGTCAAAGGAGGAGCCCTGTGAGGAGGGGGGCTTTTTGCAGAGCCTCCACCCCCATCAGGACACCCAGGTAGGTGCAGGTGGGAAGCTGTAGGCTGGCTAGGTCTCAGACCTTCCTCTTCTCTGGATAGTGGTCACCAAATGATGGAAAGCACACATCCAGCTGGGCTCCCGTGTCTGGGGGAGGGGGCCATGCATGTCAGTCTTCATTCACCATTCTCTGTTGGGCATCTCCATCTCCTGTGACAGTGGCCAGGGGAGGGGAGTTCATGGGGACTTATCTGGGATGAGCACATAGTGCCCACTGCAGGCAGAGCTGAGTCCCCCACCCCTACTTCCTGGGAGGCAAGTGTGGAGTCCACAGCCCTCATACCGAGGGCTGACTGACAGATGATGTTACAAGAGCCCTGGGCTTAGGGTGGAAGGCTGCCCTGAGGTCCTATTGCTCACTTGTGTTTATTCTACAAGTATTTGTTAAGGCCTCTCCTGTCTCCTTCCCTGTACTTCCAAGAACCTGTTCTCCAGGGAGGAGAGGAGGCATGCATAAAATACCTTGAGCTGAGGAGGGAGTAGGAAGCTCCATGGCTTTATAGAGAGGGACACTTAAGAATAGAAGGACAACCAATGAGTCACTTTTAGCAGTGGGGCTCTGACCTAAACCCACACAACAGAGGCCAAGTCAAAGCCTCAGGTAAGACAGGTAAGCTGTTCGTGGCTGGCCCCTGTGCAGACCTGGGGTTGAACCCAGTTCTGCCATATGTGCATCTTAAAGGAGGCAGGTGAGTGTTTCCTGTCTGTGAGGTGCAGATGGTAGCAGCAGCATTACACTCATCGCACTGCAGTTGTGGGCAGGGTTAATGAGACACCCGCACAAGCCTAGCCACAAGACACGGGAGGCCAGGGCTAGGGAAGGCAGTCTGCGGAGGAATGTGCTCACCCTGGACTGTGATGGCCATGGTGAGAAGAATGCTGGTTAGGACTAAGGCTGCCCCAAACTTTCTCTCCCTTCTCTCTCTAGGGCACCTCTCATCGGTGGCCAGTAACCATCCTGTCCTTCCGTGAATTCACATACCACTTCCGGGTGGCATTGCTGGTGAGCACATAGGCCAACCTGCCCCCGCCCCCGACCCCAGGCAGAGGGGGCTTGGGAGAATAAGGGCCTTTGCAAAGCATGGTAGGGCCTGGGGCAACTACCGTACCCATCCTCACATCCCCTCTACATAGGGTCAGGCCAGCTGCAGTTCAGAGGCCATCGCCCAGCCAGCCACAGACTACTACTTCCACTTCTACCGCCTGTGTGCCTGAGCCGCCTCGAGGCAATGCCACAGCCGGGGTCGCGTCCCGCGCCCTCAACACTGGATGCAAATGTGTTACACTGGAGCCTGCTGCAGGCCAGCTCTCTGCTCTTCACTGCCTCCCCTTGACCGAGGAGACTGGAAATCTTCACACTGGAGCTGCTGGGCAAGCTGGTCAACCTCAAACAGCATACCGGAGGCCAGAGTGACCAGCACCCTGAGCCTTCCCTCCTGGCCACCTCCTTGGGGCAGCATAGAACAAATTCATAGCTGTCTAGATATGGTTGCCGGAAGGCTGGGTGCAGGGGTCCTGTAGGCAAGGGAAAGCTATGGTCCTGACTTGTCCACTCCCAATTCTTCTTCTGAGCTTTGGTGGAGAGAAGACCCATGGGGGTTGGATGCAGACCTGTAACACCTAGCTGGACCACATGAGTCCATGGAAAGCTAATAACGCTCGCCTTTTATGCTGTTCCCAGGAGGGACAGCTTGTTGGTAGACTTTCTGGGGTTTGACTGTTACACTAGACCTGGATTTCTAAGCTTTAATGTGGTTGGTTCAGGAGAGTTCTCCCTAGGAGCGCTTAGCACCTAAGAATTCCCAAGGCAGTCAGGGCCAGCCCTGGATGGCTGGAGAAGCTGATCTTAACGTCTTAAGTCTACTGGTACCTGATGGAACCACCTTCACAGGCCTGAACCAGTGGGGCTGATAGGCGAGGTAAGCCTTGGACACTGAGCCTGGAAGTTTCCCAAGCTCATGATGGAGTTGGTGACATGATTATTTTGAGCAGAGGAGCAGGAATCCCTGCAAGCAGTAGGCCGGTTTCCGTTGGAAGGTGGATGCAGATAACTTTTATTAATGATGTAATTACTAAAATGCACTTAAACCAGGGCAGCAAGGAATAGGAAGAAGCAAGAAAGCTGAGTGGGCCTCAATTGGAGGGACATTAGTAGACAAGAAGATTCTGGTTCCCCAGATCAAAGTTCCCCTCTCCTGGCTTGGATCCCTGCTCAGTGGGCCCCATCTTTGCCTCTTTTACCTCCAGGAGAGGAGTAGTGGGTTTGGGTTAGAAGATTTTACTTAAGTGACAGCTCCAGTATTTCTTAGTGGCACCTACAGCATTCTGAGGTCACAGCAGACTCCTGGAAGGAGTGCTGCAATCATTTAGTCATATGTCATGAGTTCAGCTGTGGGAAAGGGGATTGCTCATACCTCATGGTATTCTGACCCTTTGGACAGCAGGCCTTGCCTTTTCTAACTTCCCATTCTCAGCTCTAAATGGGAAGCCTTTGTAGAGGGGAGCTGAGTCCAGGAAGCCTATCAACTGTGGGTTTGCCATGGATTTCAAAGCACTTACCCTCAGGATAGAGGACAGCAGGGATACCCTGCCCCCAAGCTTTCTCCCCAGCTTGGCTCCACTCCTTCATTCTGCCATAGGAATCATGGCCCCCTACATCAGGCCATGCCTGCCTTAAACCACTCTGTTCTGCCCTCCCTCAGGGTAGCCCTTCCCACAGTGCCTTACTTTGACTGCCCAGCCCCACTGCTTTTAGTAGCATGCTGCAGCTCCCTCACCAGAGGAAGTGTTCTCGGACTGTGGCCCCAGTCCTTACCTGGAAAGTGACCCTCCATTACCCCGGGAGTCCATCTGGACACAGCAAGCCTAGACCCATTGACAGCTGCCTGTTTGCATGCCTGGGGAGGGTTCCTCAGTGTGAGTTGGGGCCAAATTTGGGCTCCAAGCTGCTTGAGGGGGTCAACCTTGGACCAAAGTCGCCTTAAGCCCCAAGTATAAAAGGGCATAGGGGAAGGTAAAAGGGCCACAGGTTGGAAGCTGACAGCCTGTCTGGCCTTCCTTTCCTCTCTCCCTTCTGGTGTGTTCCTATAGCCACTGGGCTAATCTCCCCCTTGCTTTAAGCTGTACATAGGCCCCCCAGCACAGACCCCTGCCCATGATATACCCCTTAGAGGCCTATGTGTTCATAGAGCGTCTCCCATCCCGCTCATCTTTCCCTTAACTGCTCATCTTTCCCGAGCTCTGACTCCTATTTATCACATACTCACTCTGACTCTGAGGAAGGCAGAGGGAAGCCACTGGGCCTACTTGCTTCCTGTCCCCAAAACTGTCCTTTTCTTCTGAAGTAAATATACATATATAAATAAATGTATAAATACTGCTTTGTATCTGAACTTGCTTCCTAGTGTCTTGAGATTCTTCAGGTGGGAGGGAAGTCACTTCAGGCCAAGCTAGCTAGAATCTAGTTTCTGACAGGCCTAGAATATCCTGACCTACACACCAGAGGGCCAGAAGGCCACTCTGTATCTTCATGTCCCTCATTTGAGGGTTTAAGGATTGGGTTGGACACACACACTTCCAGCAAATCTTCTCCATGAAGCCACCATTGTCCATCTAGGGAATAGGTTGAGCCTAGAGGACCACAGCCCAAAGAAGGGTGGCTGAGTTCAGAAAGACTGGCCCAGGGTAAAAGCAACTGCTGGGCCCTGGAGAAGTTTGTTTGAAAACAACACAGGAGCAGGCCTGGACCCTTCCTATCCACAGGTGGGCCTCGAAGCAATGGCAAGATGACACAGCTACACAGCCCTTGCAAATCCCCAGCTTCAGGTGCTGGTGAAAGCAGCTAAGAAGTAGGGAAGGCAGGACTTTAACAGTCAAGAGACCCCAGTAATCCACTCCACCCCGCCACCAAAGAACAGGCATGAGGCAGGTCTGTCGCACATCTGCCTTTATTGTAAACAGCAGGTGGGACACTTGTAGCAATGGTAAAAAATTAATTTACAAAAGCAGGGACTTGGTGAAGCTGCCTGGTGGGTACCTGGAAGAAGAAAGCGAATTAAGAACGAGACCAGTGACACTCTTTTGCACTCCCTTCCCGTAGCCCTGATCTCCTTGGGCAAGGGCTGTGTAGGAGTCCACAGAACAATCCACTGAAGATGGGTCACTAGAACTGATCTTCAGTAACCTGATTGGTGCTAATCCGTTTTAATTCCCAGATCCTTTCCAAGTCATTAGTATGACTTGAAAGAATGCAGATGTAAAAACACAGGTAGCCCTCACTCACACCCCTACCTAGTACACCCCAGAGCTTGAATGAGGCCTTGAGTAACGTAGAGAACTCAGAACTAACACACCAAGTCACACCTGGCTCAAATCCCTATGAGGGGTGAGGAGAGGGTCCTGATATACTCCAGGTTTCTGTCCCCATGGACCAGGAAGAGAGAGGACCCACTGATAGGGCTTTACAGGGGTTCTGCAGGCATGTGCATCTTGTTACAGCTCTTACCCTTGGGAAATCATACATAGATGCCAACCCAGAGCAGGAGGAAGAGGACTCCAAAGCCCATGAAGAGTGAGGCCACCAAGGAGATGAGGAGCTCTTTGTAAATATCGCGTGTGTACTTGGTGGAGGTGACCTCGTAACTAGAAAGACTGTCAAGGAGAAGCAATGAGAGCTGGGCGGTAGTGGCACACGCCTTTACTCCTAACACTTGAGAAGCAGAGGCAAGCAGATCTCTCTGAGTTCAAGTCCAGCCTGGTCTACAGAGATAGTTCTAGAGCAGCCAGGGACACACCAAGAAATCCTGTCTCAAAAGACAAACAAACAAAAAAGCTGTCTAGGATTACTCAATATGGGGAAACATAGGCTAAGGGCTTCCTGGGAGGCTTGTCTGGCTTGGTGAAGATGAAGGGGCCCAAGAGATAACACAGGCTCTGATGCTCCAAACCATACCTCTAACACCCACGAGGAAAAGACGCCCACAGTAGTTAGGCCAATTACCTGTAATCACATCTCACTCATGGTACAGCTAAGACTAGGGTCCAGACTTTATGACACTTGAGCACACCCCTGCTGGGTGTAGTGGTGCATGCCTGTAATCCCAGCACAAGGCAGAGGCAGAGAGGCAGAGGCAGGTGGACCTCTGTGAGTTTCAGGTCAGCCTCGTCTGCACAGTGAGACCCTAAATACCAATAAACCACCTTTTGAACCTTAGTTCAGTCTGGAGCAAACTGAGCTAACAAAGCTGGAAAACAAGGTCATGGCCTGCCCTTGGGTATCAAATGCCTTTTCCTATACTCACCTTGTCTCAACCCCACCTCAAAGGGAAAAAGTAGCAGGGTACAGTTACCCAGTATGGTTCCCCCCTCAGTTCTTAGGCCACTAATTCTGGTTCCGACTGTTCAGTGAAAGGATACACGAAGAACCAGGCGGTGAAGAACATGCCGATGGCTAGAAGTACCACAGTCAGGTGTGGGAAGACAGCCGGGTTGACCGGGCTGGTGTACCGACTCATGGCCTCGAGCTCCTAGGGAAGAAAGGAGACCAATTATAGTTTCAATCTGGGGAGACCGTGGAGCAGCCATGTACTATTGAGACTGTTAGAGACACATTTCAGCCTGGGAAATGCAGAATTCCTTCAAGTAATTCTTTCTGGGAACAGAAATTACAAAAATTTTGTGTGTGTTTGTGTCTCTGTGTATGTGTATGCATTTTTAAATTTTATACATTTATCTACTCTGCCTATGTGGGTGCGGGTACCATTGAGTGCATGGGGAGGTCAGAAGACAATTTACAATAGTTGGTTTTCTCCTTACACCTTGTGGATCTCAGGGACTGACCTCAAGTTACCAGGCTTGACAGCAGTTGTGTTTACCTGCTGAATCATTTTTCAGGTTAACCAAATCACCCTATCCACTTTCTTCTTAAATTTGTGAGGAAGTTAAAGGACAATTTTCTGAGAGTCACCTTCTGCTGTGTTTGAGGCAAGGTCGCTCTCTCTCTCTCTCTTTTTTTTTTTTTTTTTTTTTTTTTTTGGTTACTGTGACAAGCACTCCAGGTTAGTTGGCTCCCAGGCTTCTGAGCAATTCTGGTACCATTTTCCATCTTGCTGTATGAGTTCAGGGATTACTACATCTGGCTTTTAAAAATAATGTGGGTTCTAGAGTCCAAACTCGGGTTTTTGGCTTGCACACAAAACCCTTTTAACCACTGAACCATCTCCCCAGCCTCACAGTCACATCTTAAAGTAAGGATGTGGCAGGCTTTGTAGTAGAGCATTTGCATAGCATGAATGAAGTCTTGGGTGTGATCCCCAGCACTGGAAAAAAACAAAAAACAAAACAAAACAAAAAAACCAAAAACAAAACAAAAAAAAGCATGGAGACCGCAGCTTTTCTTTTGGTGAGATAAGAAGAGCAGCTGAGTCAGAGGCTCAGGCATAGGAAGGGATAGAGATAAATGGTTCTTAGGATTTTCTAGCCAGTGATCACTAAGACATCCATGGATCTGTCTGGAGGGAAAAAAAAAAAACAAAAAACACACATACATAAAGAAAAAGCTTGTCCACAATTTCCACTTCCTTTTGGACCTGTGTCCAGATGCTAAACCATTAATTTGTACAAGAAGCTGAAGCCTAGACTAATATGCAGATCTCAAGTTCTATTTCAAGATCACTAGGAGGGAACCACAGGGATCTCCTGGCAGAAGACAACTGTGATAATTCTGGCTTTACTGAATCACTGGAGTTTGAGTTAAGTAGTTATAACAAGTACTGGTTTCACAGTTCTGATGCAGGATTGGAGAAAGATGATAAATACTGACACATCTAGTTTACTGCCTGACATGGAGTAACTGCTCAATAGGTATTTGTTTCCTTCCTAAGTTGTAGAGAAGATTATGAGGTAATGCCTGTGAAAGCACTATAAACGTAAAGTTCTGTACAAATGTTAACTTCCATTGTCACTTGCCAGCCAATGTCTCTAAAGTCCAGAACATAACAACTCCAGAGAAGTAAACTGAACCCATTGTTCTAAGAGACACAGGAATTCAACTCGGTAAACAATTATGTCGTACCCCGCCCCCATAAAAGCCAAAGACAATTGCTGCCATTTATGGAGCCTCCAATTGCAGGCCCAGTGTTTGACAACAAGAATACAAAGATGAATAGACATCATCCCAGAACTAAGATGCACGTCAGATGGTGGTCACTAGGAGGCGTGGCAGATAACAGAGAAATCCATGAAACGTGGCAAGAGTGTATAGAGACTGTAAGAGCCCAGAAGATGTCTATGAGTGCCTATGAGAGTTCCAAGTGTTGCACCAGGTGAGGACATGTACCCTAGGGCCTTGCGGGATGAATTCGGATAGCGATAACTGATCATAGGAAAGAGAAATAAAAGCGCGAAGGTATTCAAAGTGCACCCGTGCCCCTCAGCCTTATGACCAACAATATCATAAGCCCATTGTGATGGAAACCTCAGTCTGAGAAATCCATGGCAAGGGGCTTGCTTTCCTGGTTCCCCAACTAAACAATGGGCTCCAGAAGCGACCCATCCTCGGGACACGGAATGCTGAGGACTCCCAAGAACGTGGCGTGGACCTGGCACCCAGGAGTCCTGGCCCACAGCCCTGTCCGCAAACTCCCACCATCTCACCATTTTGCCCAGCACAGGATAAACCACCGGTCCACCACCGGAAGAACACGTCGGCAAGAGCAAGCGCGTAGTGCAACAGGAAAAGGATGTGGTCCCTCGCGCGTGGCATTGTGGGACTTGTAGTCCCACGGTTTCAGGTGTAACGGTAACTGAGACTCTAAAGACCTATTGTGAATGGCATGGGGTCGGAATGTGGGAGAGGGTAGGGCAGGGTCTCTTTTTTAATTCGTTTTTCCCGGAAATAAGATACACTATAAAAGCTGTGGTCTGAAGTGGCAGGGACTGCACTACATTTCCCAGGAGGCTGTTCGCGGAGGACAGATCACGTGACCAGAGCGCGGGCTTTGGAAGGCGAAGAAGCTGGAAACGACTTGGGCTCAACAACAGAAGAGCAGGATCTAGACTGTTCTGAGGAACTCCGCGGAAGCCGGCCACTGCTAGCTGCCGAGGCCTCGTGCAGTCCAGGTAGGGTGAGACTTCGCGGAAGCGGCTTTGAAAACGACTAGTATCGCGGGAGCAGCACCAGGCGGCCCCGGCCTCGCGGTGCTCGGATCCTCTCTCTTCACAGGTAGGAAGAAGGTGATAACCTTCCCCCGAGGACTACGGCTCTATACTAGAAACACTAGGAACGATTTGTTCAGTCCCATTTCCTGCCTGAATCTGCGGGGTATTGCGAGAGGGAGACGGCTAACAGGGTATTGGTAGGTTTGCGGAGAGTTTGTTAGCAATTCAGCGACTCCGAAGGAGAACTTCAGCTCCCCCCCCCCGGAGACACCAGAGCCTTCAAGGGCTCTTGTGAGGAGGCTCTTAGGAAATGGGTCCAAGGTCTGCTGTCAGCAAGATACACTGCTTTCTTTCTTTTCTTTTTTTCTTTTCTTTTTTTTTTTTTTTTTTTTTTTTTTTTTTTGTGTTGTCAAGAGACACTGTGCTGCTTATTACTATTTTTATTTGGCCAGGAAGGTTTCTTCTTTATAACTTTATGGTCATTGGTGTTTTGCCTGCATGTTTGTCTGTGTGAGGGTGTCAGGAACCCTGGGACTGGAGTTACAGACAGGTATGAGCTGCCATGCAGTGCAGAGAATTGAACCCGGGTCCTCTTGGAAGAACAGCCCAGTTCTCTTAACCTCTGAGCCATTTCTCGAGCCTCCTAAAACACTGTGCTTTCTGATGATTCTGGCTGAGAGAGGTGTTGGAAAAGCCCTAAGGACAGTTCTGAATGAAGGGAAGTCTGAAAGATTCCTAAGAACTATGGGGCCCAGTTAAAATGTTGATTGATTAGTTATCTCAGGGCAGGGGGCTTTTATCCTCCGTGCAGCCATTTCATTTAAGGCTTTGCTATCTGGAACATCCTGTGGAGGCGGGACTGAGATGGCATTAGGACAGAACAGGTTATCCTCTGTGACACAATGGGTACTGTCTTGTACTCATTCTAGCAGAGCAGTGAGGCATGAGCCAGAGGACTGAATGGGGAACATGGGCACGGCATCTGGTGATGCGTGCTTTCCACCTGGTGTGACGGTCGGCCACTTAGTTCTGCAAGGCAGAAATGATTCTTTTATAATTCATACCACAGAATAAGTGACTTAATCGTGTTTCACAGAGCTGAAGGTGTGGCTCAATGTAGAGCACTTGCTAGCACTAGAATGTGTGAGGCCCTAGGTCAGCCCCTGTTGTTAAACAGGGCTTTTTATTTGACTTCAGCCTTGCTAGGCAAAGCTGCTGTACCAGTGAGCTTCAATTCTCAGCCCTAGGGCTGGACTTTTGCTGTTTGTATTCATAGGAGAACCACAGTACAGACCAGGAAGACGTGAGAAAGGATGGCAGGAACAACACACAGATGAGCAAAAGAGAGAGGCAGGGCTTTTCCTTAGGCTTCTGTACTGTACAGGGAGATTATGGTGCCATTTATACTGAGTTGTTTGGACTCGGGAGGGGGAGTATAAGTGTTGCTTAGGCTTCAGAGAAGATACCATGGAGTAAGATTGGGAACAGTTAGAAGAATTGATAGGATGTCCTTCCTTCCTTCCTTCCTTCCTTCCTTCCTTCCTTCCTTCCTTCTTTCCTTCCTTCCTGTTTTTCGAGACAGGGTTTCTCTGTATACCAGCCCTGGCTGACCTGGAACTCACTCTGTAGACCAGGCTGGCCTCAAACGCAGAAATCTACCTCCGGAGCACTGGTACTAAAGTGTGCAGTTCCACCGCCTTGCCTGATAGGGTTTTCTTATTGTGTGAAAACAATATCATTGGGAAAGCAAGATGGTGCTAGTAAATTATGTATTAGAAGATTCTTTGATTATACATTTAACACATTAAAATATGACTGATACATGCAGATCTCCCCCAGACAGGGTTTCTCTATGTGTACTCGTGGCTGTCCTAAAACTAGCTTTGTAGACTAGGCTGACCTGTAGACTGATGGTCAACACATGCAGATATTTTTGCTTAATGGATTCTGACACATGTAGTTATCTTTGCTTAAGATGGATTCTCTTTCCAACTTATGTTTTTGTTTGTTTTTTGAGACATGGTCTCACTATAACTCTGGCTGGCCTGGGACTTGCTATATAGACTAGGGCTGGCCTTGAACTCAGATCCACTTGTCTCTGCCTTCTAAGTGCTGGGATTAAAAAGGTAAGTGACAATGCCCAGCAGTGGTGGTACACACCTTTAATACTGCCCCTTGGGAGGCAGAGGCAGACATATCTCAGTAAGTTTGAGGCCAGCCTGATCTACAGAGCGCGTTCTAGGGCAGCCAGGGTGGTTACACAGAGAAATCCTGTCTCAAAACAAACCAAAACAAAAAAATCTTTAAAAGCCAGCCATAGTGGTGCATGTCTTTAATCCCAGCACTTGGGAAGCAGAGTCAAGCAGATCTGAGTTATAGGCCAACCTGGTCTATAGAGCTTGGTCCAGGACTTCTGAGGCTATACAAAGAAACCCTGTCTCAATACCCTCCCCGCCAGCAAAGGCATGTAGCTGGAGTGTCTTTCCAGCCTGGTCCCAAAGCTGATTAGCCCCAAATAAATACACAAATACTTAATTTATATGCCATTTGGTTGATGGTTAGGGTCCTCACTGGCTAGCTCTCTTAGTCATTAGCCCATTTCTATTAAATCTATGTATTGCCACAAGGCTGTGGCTTTCCTCTAATCTGGCATGTTACTCCTTTGCCCCCTCTCAGCCTTCCTTTCCCCAGCCTTCTCCTGGTCTGGTAGCCCCACCCATTTTTCTGCTTCTACTGGCCAATTAGTGTTTTATTCATCAACCAATAAGAGAAACATGTACAGAAGAACAGCTCCATCAAAGGCATGTGCCATCATTCATGAATTAGTCCTCACCACTTTTTTTTTCTTTAAAGTCCACTTAAATAAAAATACTAGGGGAAGGAACATTCTATTTTAGTTGGAAGGGACAAAAGTTGTGAGGGTAATTTTGGAAACACTGCCCTAGGAACAATTTGATGGAAGTCTTGAACCACAGAATTACAGTATTGGGCTGAGTGATTCCAGATTGCCAGCCCTTAATTCAGGACCTGTGATAGGGGTCTGAGGTCCATGTTTCAGACTTGGAAGAAGTACAAAGAGGAGGACTTAAAACTTCTCCAGCATCCTGCTAAAAAACAAACTCTTAGGTGCTGAGGGAGATGCTGAAGGGGGGAGGGATAGCGGCGTGTGAGATGTCTCCTGGTCCTCGTTCAGAAGTATATCCTTTGGGGCTGCAACATCAGATATCTGTAGAGAAGCGATAAGTCAGACATAGTCGTGTTTGTGTAGCTGGTTTTTACATGCTCTTGGGGACTCACTTCTGCCTTTATGATCTCAGGGTCCTTCAAGCTAAGCCAAGCAGTCTTGTTTGCTGTGATCCTTGATGCCGTTGAAAGTTGAAGTCATTCTTTGTGTGACACATTGTGCCGTTGTGTTATTTAAAGCCCTTAAGTTATTGAAGAACATCCAGGATCTCATTCCCCAAGGCACCCGGATCAGCTCCCGGTACTTGGGAGGCCTGCCTGTTAATTGGGTGCACTGTGGATGTTTGAGAATGAAGCATGTTGTTCACCTTTGCATCATCTTCTTCTCTGCCAACTTGGAGTCCTGTTGTTTTCACATTAAATTTGATCCAGCATGAAATTAAACTGGTGAATGCTGCCATTTACAGCCTTTGTTCCTTTTGCCCTCCATGGTCTACCACTTACTTGTCTTTCTTTGTTTTAGCCATCGCTTCTGTGTTACCATGGGAATTCAAGGCCTTGCCAAACTAATTGCCGATGTGGCTCCCAGTGCCATCCGGGAGAACGACATCAAGAGCTACTTCGGTCGCAAGGTGGCTATTGATGCCTCCATGAGCATCTACCAGTTCTTGATTGCCGTTCGTCAGGGTGGGGATGTGCTGCAGAATGAGGAGGGGGAGACCACCAGCCACCTGATGGGCATGTTCTACCGTACCATCCGCATGATGGAGAATGGCATCAAGCCTGTATATGTCTTTGATGGCAAACCACCACAGCTGAAGTCAGGTGAGCTGGCCAAACGCAGTGAGAGACGAGCTGAAGCCGAGAAGCAGCTGCAGCAGGCTCAGGAGGCTGGGGTAGAGGAGGAAGTGGAAAAGTTCACAAAGCGGCTGGTGAAGGTTACCAAGCAACACAATGATGAGTGCAAACACCTGCTGAGTCTCATGGGCATCCCATACCTTGATGCACCCAGTGAGGCAGAGGCCAGCTGCGCTGCCCTTGTGAAGGCCGGCAAAGTTTATGCTGCAGCCACCGAGGACATGGACTGCCTCACTTTTGGCAGCCCTGTACTAATGCGACATCTGACAGCCAGTGAGGCCAAGAAGCTGCCCATCCAAGAGTTCCACCTGAGCCGAGTCCTGCAGGAGCTGGGTTTGAACCAGGAGCAGTTTGTAGATCTGTGCATCCTGCTGGGTAGTGACTACTGTGAGAGTATCCGGGGCATTGGGCCCAAGCGGGCTGTGGACCTCATCCAGAAGCATAAGAGCATCGAGGAAATCGTGCGGCGGCTGGATCCCAACAAGTACCCTGTTCCAGAAAACTGGCTCCACAAGGAAGCCCAGCAGCTCTTCTTGGAGCCTGAGGTGCTCGACCCAGAGTCTGTGGAGTTGAAGTGGAGCGAGCCCAATGAAGAAGAATTGGTCAAATTCATGTGTGGTGAAAAGCAGTTTTCTGAGGAGCGAATTCGCAGTGGGGTCAAGAGGCTGAGTAAGAGCCGCCAGGGCAGCACCCAGGGCCGCCTAGATGATTTCTTCAAGGTGACTGGCTCACTCTCCTCGGCTAAGCGCAAGGAGCCAGAACCCAAGGGGCCTGCTAAGAAGAAAGCGAAGACTGGGGGAGCTGGGAAGTTCAGAAGGGGCAAATAAACATGTCCTCCCCCTCCATTGTCCCCTGACTCCAGGGTGTCTGCTTTGCACCTCAGCTAAAACACTCCTCTTCTGGGAGTCTGCTGCTTCCCAGAACTGCTCTCAGAGCCTTGCCTTTCTTACTTGGCAGGAAGGCCACAGCTTTGCTTTTCCTCATTTTTAGCTCAGGAATGATGTCAGACTCAAACCACTCCTCAGGCAGGTTAATGGACACTGCATCCATTGTTCTGTGAAACTGAAAGCAACACTTTTTAAAGGAAGAAGGAGATAAGGATGGTTTGGGGTGGGAGTGTGGGGAGATAATTTCCTGGCTGGCCAGCTGGTGGATGGGAGATGACTGTAGACCTTGACTGCTCTTTCCGCAGCCCAGGCTTTGCTGATGGAAGAGCTGCAAAGAGAAGGGGCGAGAGCAGAGAGGAGTCTGGCTGACAAGGCTGATTCCTGACTAGCTGTGTCTGTGGGCAGAAACCTGAACTTGCTATCTGGTGAGTCTGCAGGAACTTTTCAGGGCAGTGAAAAAGCAGTGTTTTAGGTTTTGAATTGTAGTTTTGTTTTTGTTCCATTTTCCTCTCCAGTGCTGGGAATTGAACCCACAGCAAGGCAAGCAAGCATACCTCTGACCTGTAGCCCCAAGAGACACTGTCCCAATGGCCTTTTTGAGGCAATCAATTGAATTGAGGTTTTGGGAGAAGAAGCTGTTGTTCATGTGCTATTTCTGTTTTAAAAGATGTGAAGAGGGGGAAAAATCAATAAAATTATTACAAAAGTAATGAATGTGGTGTTCTTTGAGGACATTTGAAAACACCCTTAGTGCTTCTAGTTCCTGTAAAATATAATGATCTCCTTTTGCCACTAAAATTAGATGACAGGCTGGGATTGCCCTGGTAACAAGTGGTTTGTTTAAGTGGACAGTAGGTGGCGCCATACACCATGTTTTGTGGCCACAGCAGTTATGGTTGGCACCAGCCTTTTTTACTTCAGGAGTTTGAATGACTGGACAGGATTTCACTCATTCCACCTAGTCTGTGAGGTAAAGGAGTCACTTTGAACAGTCTTGTAATTTAGATAAACTTTCTCATAACATCCAGGCATTTTGTTTTGTCACTTGATGAACAGATGTCATTAAGAAACCTTGCTCTTACTGAGATTTCAGGTTCTCAAGATGAATGTTATCAAGTTTGAGGGTACTGGTGCATTAGGATTCTCTAGAGGAACCAAGTAAATAGAATGAGTTTTATATATATTGAAAGGGGTTCATTAGAGGGGCTTACAGGCTGTGGTCCAGCTAGTCTAACAATGGGTGTCTGGTAAAAAGGCCAAGAATTCAGTAGTTGAGTCCTTAAGGGCTGTTTCAGCTGGTCTTCAGTCTACCTGAAGATCTGAAAAGAAGCAGGTTCAAGGAAAGGATACCTTAGGGGAGAGTGAGGGTTCACAGGCAAGAAGCGAAAACTTCCCTCCACATCCTTTTGTGTGGCTGCTGATAGAAGGCATGACCCAGATATAGGGTGGGTCTTCCTACCTCATATCCTCCACACAGGTGGGCTCAGCTGCTTGGGCTTTAGTTGATTCCAAATGTGGTCAAGTTGACAACCAAGGTCAGCCATTACAACTGGTAAAGCTTAGTGGGGAGCTAGCCTGTAGTTCTGATCTTACAATTCTGAAATAGCATACAACTTTCCATTGAAAATGTCTCCACAGATTGAGAAGATAAATACTATTGGTTTTCAAGTCCTTAAATTTTAATTTTACGATATATTGGGAGCAGGTATGTGTGTGTGTGTGTGTAGTATGTGTGGAAGTCAAAGGACAGATTTCAGGGATCTCCACTGTAGGTTATGAAGTTGTTAGGGCTTTTACCTGCTGGCCTTTGCACAATGGTTTTCAGTGTCCTCCCTAGCCCCGTCCCGCCCTACCCCCACACTATAGTCTCTGCACGCGTGGGCATACACATACTGGCTTTCACTCTAGCCCTGGCTGGCCTGAAACTGGTAGACCAGGTAAGCATTGGATTTATAATATTCTTTAAATGAAGTCTTGGGTGAATGTAGACACTATAAATTGTATCCTGAGGGCAGAGTAGAATGACTTTGCCAGATTAAAGCAAGCTGTACTTATTTGAGTTCTTTTTTTTCTGATTCCATAATTTGATTCTGGATCTGCAGTGGCAGTGAGCTAAGTAAGTGCCAAGACTATTTACTGCCTCAGCACAGTGGCTTTTAGGGGCTTGCATCCTGTGGTCAGCAAGCAAGTAGAGTTCTAGCTTCTTTTAAATCTAATCTGCTTAGCCTTCTTTAAGTTTTCTAGTTTGTGCTTGCACCTGTGAATGCCCTGATGCTTTCACTCAGGAGTGCTGTTTAAGCACAGTCAAGAGTTAAGAGGCATTGCTCTGCAGTCTGAGGCAGCATTGGCAAAGGGACAAGCAAACAGGACTTCTAGGCATAACCATTCCAGAATCAGAAATAGGCTTAAAGGGAGAAAATGATGCAAAATGGAAAGTTGAAGGACCAGAGTGGAGACATCAAATGGTGACATCCATGAGCTCTGGCAGGAATACATCAGCAGTACAGCATCTCCACAGATGGATATCATGGGAGGAACCTGGCTTTGTCAGATCATCCTTGTTGCACGGCCAGTTACAGTCCTGTCCCATTTGTACTGGCAGTGATGTGTGTTCCAAAGGGAGCTGTTAGAGGTAAGGTCTTTTACTGTACGAGAAGTCACCAGTTTGCCTAAAGGTTGGCCAGCAAGCTCCAGAGGTCCCCCTTCCTATGCTGGGTAATAGATCTCCACATGGCTTTTACATGGGTCCTGAGAATCTGAACTTCAGTCCTCATTCTTGCACAGAAAATGCTTTACCCTCTGAGCCAGCTGCACTGCCCTGCCCTGCCCTGCCCTACCCTGCATCAGGGAATCTGGTACACATGTGCAGACATGCAGCATGGATTTGAAATGAATAACATTCTTTGGTCCAAATTAATTTTTATTTTTTAGTCTCATTGGTGGTGATGGCATTGGCACACAGATAAACGCCCTTGGCCAGGAAGTAGAAAGATGAAGGAAATAAAGATAAACATGGAAGCTGGAGTTAACAAGCTCCATTCAAATGTTCTGCCACTGTCTGTGTGAGCAGAGATGAGTCTTCCTGACTTTATTTTCTTATAGTGGAATTGAGATACCTCATTTTACCACTGTAACATTCTCAGTCTTGTCACTCGACAACCCCTGCGACTGTGCCAACGCCACAGTGAAGGCTGAGGAGGGAAGGCCACAGTGTTAGGTGCTCTAAGACCTGGTCTTGGTACGACTGAGCTCGCTGGTAATCTGCCCAGACCCTTACCCCAGGGAGCAGGCATGGGGAGGAACAGCACCAAATAAAGGTAGCACTTTTCCATTCTGATTCCCCAGCCTGTTTCAAACAGGGTTTCTAGAAGGGCCAATCAGACTTGAGCTCTTCTGCAACCTGCCTTTCCTAGACATTGTCCTGGGAAACTTAAGGAACTCTGCCTGTCACCACACTGTACTCCAACGTCCTTTACACAAACACCCTCATCTTGACCATCTGCCATCTCCACAAACATGTGTTGTGCTTTGCCTTCTGCTTGAGGTTCTCTAATTCCAGACAGATGGTTTGGGGAATGAGCCTGAATGTGGATCTACAGTGGTTAGACCTCTCCGGGCATGTTCCTATGTTCTCTGGAAGGGTGAGTTAAATGTTCTTACTTTCTATAAAACCAGTAGATTATAAAACCCTATTTCATTGTTAGACTGACATGCTTTGTCAGAAGTTATCCTGAATTCCTATCTGGCCTCCAGAAGAATAAGACACTTGACCAGGATTACAGAGGAGCTCAGACCATGCTACACGATGCGGGAACACAGGGAGCAGGGATGTATTCACTGAGAGCACTGACACTTCCATGATGGGAACCTCAGCCACTTGTGCTGATGGCTGTTTTCTTGAACTTAAAAGGAAACTATGGGCTCCTTGGGGACTGATTAAAAAGAGGTGAATGAACAGATTTTAAAGGCCAGTAACTCTGCCATCCATTTTGCTCAAAGCTAAGATCTCATGTTCTCTCTGAAACCTGGATAGAACAGGAAACCAGGGTTAATCATGCCAGGATCCTCCAGGGCCAAATGCTTCCCAAACCATAGTCACTGGCCTTTGCCCTGCCTGCTTTTCGCAGCAGCTGGAGGCAGACATGGTCACACCCAGCTCTTGGCAACAAGCTGAGCTCCTGAGCGGGGAGCTGTGCCAAGCTTCAGGGTTCTATGCATGAATGCCCGCTTTCTGAGGCTTGTTCAAAGGGGCCACACTGGCCCACAGAGACTAACAGGGAGGGGACAGTCAGAGAACATAGCCCAGTGACATGGGTTTATACTTTAAGAGAGGGGAATTCCAGGGTGGGGTCTCTGCTTCACGCTGGGCTCTGTAGGTCCCCCCATTTGCCTCTGCTAAAGTAAAACAAACAATAGAACAGCTTTGTATCCCTACCCCAACAGTTCTTCCTTCCCTCCTGTTTGGTACCTAGAAGGCAAAGGGGGCAGGTGTGAGCACAAACACCTTTGTCCCCTAACCCTTCGAACATTCGATTCATAGTGGCATTGTCCCTCAAGCTCCTTCTGCTTTGGCTCCAGTAGTCCTCTTCCTCTCCCAGATGGAGGACTGCTGCTGCTATTGGTGAAGATAGGCATCCAACCAGAGCTGCCCTGACTCCTTCAGTGAGCTGTAGGGACAAGAGTATAGGGAGGCGTGGGCTGCATCATCCACCTGCTACATGTCCCCTTCCCCCTAGATGTTTACATCCGCCCACACACACCCCTCCCTCTCCTGCTTAGAGGAAGTTGGCCTGGTCACAGACCAGTACCACTCTGTTGTTGCCATGGTGATGCCACTGCAGATGACGAGCCCACCCCACTCCGTGCCACATGCCCATCATCCTGCCTTTCTTCCCTGCTGCCAACTCCCCAGGCTCATACTCACTAAACAATGTCAGCGAAGGCTGAGAGCAGGGGCTTGGACTTGTACTTGATGCCGTACTTGGCGCACAGGGATTGCACCAGGGGTGCCACTTTGTGGTAGTTGTGTCGGGGCATCGTAGGGAAGAGGCTTCAGGGACAGCAGGGTAGTTAGTGGCTTGTGCTCCCCTGCCCCTCCCCCACACCCTGCTTCCTGGGTCTCCCTACTCACTGGTGCTCAATCTGGAAGTTGAGGTGCCCACTGAACCAGTCATTGAAGGCTGATTGGTGAACGTTGCAGGTTGCCTGCAGCTTGGGGAGAGAGTCAGGGAAGGGCGATGTCTATCATCAGAGTGCCCGGTCTTCCCTAAGGAGGCTGTCTGGAACTGGCCCCCATCCCTCTGGCCACCCCCTTCAGTGGGAGAAGTCTCCAGCTAACAAGGCAATGCTGTCTGAGTAGACTGTTTAGCTATTACTGCCCACCCTAACCCTTTTAAGTAGTTTTGGCATGTCCAGGTCTTCCAAGAGACTGTACCTTACCTGGGTGGAGACCCAGTCCACATTCCGGTCATGATCAATGTGCATGGGGATATGGTTCATCTGTGTCACCCACACAAACCAATTGCTCTCCAGGAACCTGTTGAATATGGCATACAGCCACAAACAGTACAAGCAGAGCACATTGTTCTTTCTTATCCCAGCAGCAACATCAGCCCGTGCATGACAATTCCCCGAACACCCCCTATTCCCAAGACCCCAGCATGGCCCCCCACCACCTGCACGTTCCCTGCCAACTGCTACATCCCACCAGACACTACCTGACAATGAAGAAAAGACCCAGGAAGCCTTTCAGCCCCAGCAGGGGCATGTAAGTGAAGAAGACACGGGCATAGAAGCTGAGCATCCAGGCCAAGTCCTGCAGGGGAAACAGCATGGCACTGTCCCAGCAGCAGCTACTCCTTCCCCTCCCCATCTCTTTCTGCTGTAGCCACCGCCTCCTCCTGGTGTGCATGTCTGGCACTCAGTGTGACCCTTGGCTTGCCTTGCTGTCTGTCCTGAAACCTCCAAATGCTGCCAGATGGATGTTTCAGGACCAAGGCCCTGTCTGTACTAATGGAAGCTCCAGGTCCTTTCCTGCAGTGAGCCAAGCCCCATACTCTTCCCACAGCACTTGAGCCCTGTGCACTGTGTCCAGCGTCCACGTACATATCTCAGTTCCCCACCTGTCTGCCCAGAGCTTGTCTTCCCCATCTCCTATATCTGAGGCCAGCTGGAACGGCAGACCCAGCCAGACGCCCCCTCTTTGGGGATTCCCCACGCCTGTTCTGCCTGCATGTCTTCTCTCCGATCTATCACCTCCAGCTTCATCCTACATTCTCTGAAAGCTGGGACCCTCCCCCAGGACTCTGTCCCTTTGCTTTCTGCTCAGTCCTTGGAGGGCTGTGCAGCTTGGGAACCTCAGACTAGCCCCATGAAGCCTGGCATGGGGAGGCAACGACATGCCTGAGCCCAACCCATTTAATCTCATGTAGAGATAAGCATTTCCACCCCATTGGAGTCAGCCTCTGTGCCCCACAGAGCACACCCTTCCTCGAGCAGGGGACTGGAAAACCTGGTACCTGGGACTTGCAGGCCAGGGATACTCACCACCCATTTCTTCCGCTGAACAACAAAATAGAAGATATACCACTGGAAGTAGAGAGGCAACAGGGCTGGGGGTCCAACTGGGAAGGAAAAGGCGACAGGGAGAAGTGAGCCACTGGGGGTGACAGAGGACTGCTATGGTGAGATGACCCCCAGCACAGAACTGCCTCCTGCCAGCCCTCCTCGCCGCCTCCATCAACTCAGCGTGGGCAGGACAAGCCTGGGCAAGGCCAACTCCGCAAGAGGGTGCCAGGGAGGCCAAGGGCTGGGAGCAATATCCCTTCCTCGTGGAGGAGGACATGGGGGAGCTTAAGCCTCAAGCATGGCATGTACCCTACGCCTAGGCCTTTGAAAGGGCACATTGATACCCTCACAGTGCTTGGACCGCAGCCCTGTCCTTGCCGTCCTGTCACATTCCTGCTGCTCCACCAGGTCAAAGGGCAGGGGAAGAACCTTCAGTCTGAGGCACTCCCGATGCTACTCCAGCTACTGCATGACAATCCCCATCCATACCTCCTCAATACGCCACAGATTCTAAAGTTCTTTTCCTCCCTCCCTTTCTGATACTATTATATATGATGTGTATATGTGAGTGTGGGTCATGGCGCACATGCTGAGATCCGGGAACACACACACACACAGGCAGAGGTGGTGACTGCATAAATTGGTTCTATCCTTCCACTGTGAGTCCCCAGCTATTAAGCTCAAGTTGTCAGGCTTTTACCAGCGAAGCCATCTCGCTGATCTCCCATCTTTGTTTTTGAGACAGAGTTTCTCACTAAATGTGGGGCTATTCTGGCTGACCAGTGAGCTTAAGGGATTCACCTGTCTCTGTGCCCCTCACACAGTTCCTAAACCCTGTACTGGGATTACAGGCAGGTGCTACCACCCTTGGACTTTTATGTGGGTTCTAGAAATCCAAATTCAGGACCTCAAGTTTTCACAGCAGGCCCCAGCCCTAAAATAATAGCAATAATAAAGCATAATATTTATTATTATTATGGTTTTTCAACACATGGTCTCTGTGAAGCCATAGCTGTTCTGGAACTAGCTATGTAGACCAGGCTGGCCTCTAACACACAGAGATCCACCTGCCTCTGCCTCCTTAGTGCTGGGATTAAAGGTGTGTGTACTACTGCCCAGACTAAAATTATTTTTTATGGAAGTCATTATCCAACCCTTCGACCATGTCCAGCCCTCTCTAGAAGGGACAGTTGACAATAAATAGTTCAAACAAATTCCTTTAATTCTTCCCCTCTCTTCCTTTAAAAACTTGAAATCCATGCAGGTGTGGTGGCTTGTATCTATATAGCAAGTCTGAAGCCACCTGAGTTACACACACCCTTCTCAAACAAAGCCAAAACAAAACAACAAAACCCACCAAGGAGTTATAAATCCTATCTGAGCATTATACAGCAGGCTTTTTGTTGTTGTTTGTTTTGTTTTTTGAGACAGGGTTTCTCTGTATTGTTTTGGATCCTGTCCTGGAACTAGCTCTGTAGACCAGGCTGGACTCGAACTCACAGAGATCCACCTGCCTCTGCCTCCCAAGTGCTGAGTTTAAAGGCGTGCACCACCAATGCCCAGCATATGCAACAGGCTTTTAAAGCAGGGACTATATAATCAAAATATCTTCTGCTCAGTTCCAGCATTTCTCAGGTCCCACTGATGCCCGAGGCATCATCCTAACTGACCCCACCTTTGTGTGACTAGGTTTAAGACAAAACTAGGCTTAAAACTAAACCAGGAGACCCCTGCTGACCACTCAGTTTCTTGAGACTGGAGGACGCAGGTGGGGGGTGTCAGCAGGCAGTCCTTCCTCCTAGGCCTACCCTAGGGGACTCTGCTCCTCCCATGAGGCCCCATCCCTGTGGCTGGCACTCACTCAGGAAGAAGTACTTGTGCTGATGGTTGTATGGCATGTGCTTCTTCTTTTGTTTCCCAAGCTGTGAAGAAACAAGCACAAGTAAGCAGCAAGACCAGACATCCACCCCTCTCCCCACACTGCGATGCCAGCTTCCCCTGCTCAGATACCAAGGCCTACTTCCGGAACCTACAGCTAGCTGCTGCCTTTGGAAGGCACTGGCAGGCCCAGCACCTGGAGCCAGTGGCCCTGGATGGTAACATATGAACGTACTGTGACAAGGAACACAGAGGAGTGTACAGAATGTGTACAGGATGTGCTCTACAGGACTCCTGATGGCTATCTGAAGTCTCTGTTGAATGGCTTCCAGGTGTCCAGCCCCCTCCTGCTTCTGGTACTCTTTGGACATCGGAGTCCCTATGGAAAACTATTTTTGCCCCTGTACAGGTACTTGAGTCTTTCCAGCACACTCTTTTGGACTCTGTCTTTTTTTTTTTTTTTTTTTAATTTTAGTGTATGGGTCTCCACCACTTGCATGCAATGCCTACGGAGGCCAGATGAGGGCAGCAGACTGTCTGGAACTTAACAACTGGGTGAGCTCCCAAGTGGGTCCTGGGATTCAAACATAGGTCTTCTGGAAAGAGCAGCAGTGCTCTTAACCACTGAGCCATCTCTTGACTTCAACCTGAGCTTCATAAACCCCCTTGAAAGTGTAATATATGTAGAAAGATTACCAAGAACAATCCAGCAATCAAGTTTTTAGCAAAGCTTTGCTCCACTGGGTGGGTTTTGTTTTTGTTTTTTAAAGTCAAACTACTGAACTGGCTGGCCAGGAGTCACTAAGCCACTCAATCAGCCCAGAGCCCATCACATGGCTCATACACTGTGCTGCTTCATTCCATGGCTCTGGCATTTCTTGCCCTGATTAGTTTTGGTGACCTCAATCCAGAGCACAATCTGGCTTATCCTCTCACATAGCCACAAATAATTCATCAAAACCGAGTTCTGTTCAAGAACTTTGGCTAGACGACATAATTTCCCTGCATCCCTGGAGTCATTCAGCAAGCACTGGAGGAGAGGGGTTGGCACTGCTGCGGTCACTGTCTTAGGAACTGAGGGTACAGAGGTGAGCAGTATGATGTTCTCGTCTACATGTATCTGGTAACTTGAGGAGATGAGGCAAATTACAGGTACAGAGAGGAGAGCAGGACAGGCAGAAAGGTAGCAGCTCAGGCCTGCTTTCCCTTGGTTCCTGATACCTGAAAGATGAGAAGGGCCAGAAGTGCAGAAATCCAAAGAAAAGTGTTCAAAGCACAGGGCACAGCCAGAGTCAAAGCTATTGAGACCCAGCAACCAGAAGGCTAGGAAGGCCAGGTTACCCAGGCCCTCAGAAAGCTCCGGTAAAATCAAGGGCATGCGTAATCTGCTCTGTAGCCCAGGCGGGCCTTGAACTTGAGTATAGATTGTCTGCTCTGTGTTTCATGTTTGGTGGCTTTGTCAGGAGGTGGGGAAGTAAACTGCAGGTGCAGTTTCAGGGGCCAGTGAGGCAGAGGTGGGCCAGGTAGGCTGCTATGGTGTGGTGTGGTTTGTTCCCCAGGTGACCATGCTGCATGCTTGGTCACCAATGCAATGATGTCAGGAGGTACCACCCTCTGAATGGACTCACGTGATTCCAGGGGGAGCCTAGTGAGTCTCCCCTTGAGAGCGAATTTTTTTTTCTTTTGAGACAGGGTTTCTCTGTGTAACAGCTCTGACTGTCCTGGAACTCGCTCTGTGGACCACGCTGGCCTAGAACTCACAAAGATCTGCCTGCTTCTGCCTCCCGAATGCTGTGATTAAAGACGTGCATCACTAATGCCAGGAGAGAGTGAATTGCTTTAAAGTCAGCAAGATTACCTGTGGCTTCCTATCTCACCCTAATTTCTTTCATAGCCACTCCCACCAAAGTCTAGCTTCTCTCACAAGGCTCTTCCCAGAGGTCAAATTTGATGAGGCTGCTCCATCTTGAATTTGCAGCCTCCCAAAATAGATATCTTTTCTTTACAAAAGTACCCAATCTCAGGTATTTTGTTATAGTAACAGAAAGTGGACAGTTTATAAGATAGAGGGGGCACTGGAGCCGGAGAATTTGATGGAATTAAGATATAGTCTTGAAACAGGTGAACAAGCCATGCAATATTATTGACCAAGGAGATCCCATAGAAGAAAAGCACCCCTTTTGGTTAGTGGGGTAAGTGGGGAACTGCTATAGACAGGGATCCTGTCCACGGCTGCTCCCTCAGACAGTGATCAAGTGCTACTATGATCTGCCTCACTGTGCTTAGACTCAGAGTGTCCCCTGTACCTCCTTGTTCTCCAGGGTGTTAGGAGGCACTGGGCAGAAGCCACTAACCCGCGGCATAGCTACCTAGTTAAGCTGTCTCCCGAGAGGCCAAACCATGCCCATCTCCATCCACCCTCACCTCTCTCTGTGTGTGGAAATGAGGGAGAGGTGTATGCATGTGTGAAGAAACACTTGCCCAAGCATGTGAAGAGCAGAGATCAGCTTTGGGGATCTCTATTGATCTCTACTGTAATTTCTCAATGAACCCAGAACTCAGTTTTTGCAAGACTGGCTGGCCAGCAAACCCCCAGGATGACCCTGTCTTTAACACTCCCTGTCTTGTACACCTGGTGCTGGGTGTCACAGCTGCTGGGCCTGGCTTCCTCAGATGCTGAAGAGCTAAGCACTTTACCCACTGAGCCATCTCCTAGTCCCTTTTCTCTCTTTCTGATGTTCGTGGACCAGAGTTCCTTGGAAACCACAGAACCAAGAACCAGAAAGGCCTCCCCTTTCCTTAAACCCTCTATGGTGACAGAAGTGCTCAGCGCCCTAATGAGTAATCTGTCCTGTTTCAGAATGACACAGGCCAGTTCCCCACCATGCACTGCAGAGGGGAGCACACACAGCAAGCCAATGCTTGGGAAGCGAGAAAAATGGGAGCATTAGGGACAGATGGAGCCCAAGCTATGAGTGCCCTGTGCCAGCACAGCCCGTGCTGCCAAGGCTCTTCCACACAGCACGGCTCTGCCAGAGAGGTCAGGGCAGTCGGGCTATCTTGAAATCATGCCTGGAAATGAACTGTGCTCAACAGCTTAATGCAAACATCTGCCATTAAGTTTGTGGGGGGGGGAGGGAAGCTGGCAGAGCTCTAGAAGGGTTTTTAATTAACTTTTCAAGGAATTCCACTGGGCATTTGGAACTTTCTATTGCTTATGCTGGGCCAGTGCAGCAGCTCTCCACCCTAGGATGTTCTTCCTCCAGCAGTTACACTGTAGCGTTTGCTCATAGCCTCAGCTGACCTCTCAGAGCCAATACTGATGATGTCAAAGGACAGGGAAGGCCCAGGAGGGAGAGAAAAGGTATAGCTGCCCCTTTATCCACAGAGATTGCTTCCAAGGTGTCCAGACACTCAAGTCCCCTGTATGAAGTGGCATGCTACTCGTGATAACTGACACATGCTCTCCCAGCATGCCTTACAATAGCCCTACAGATGAGGCTTTGCTCTCTTTCTTTTCTTGAGGCTGCTCATTATGTAGCCCAGGTTAGCCTCAAACTATTAATTCTCCTGCTTCCACTTCCTATGTGCTGGGATTACAGGTATGTACCACCATGCCTGGCTTCCTTCCTGCCCTCCCACCTGATCTTTCTTTCTCCATCTCTTTTTTGGTGCTGTGTATGGAACCCAGGGCTTTACTCCAGCCAGGCAAACACGCTGTCACTGAGCTATCCCCAAGCCTCCTTTCAGTATATAATAAATGCTCTCTAGACCACACTTATACCTGATACCAAGTAAGGGCTATGTAAAGATAGTTGTTATAATGTGTTCTTTAGAAACTAATAACCAAGAACAGTCTAGAGCCAGGGAGATGAGAAGGCTCCATGAGAGGGCTCAGAGGGTAAAGCATTTCTGAGGAACCCTGATGACCTGAGTTCAACCACTAAGTTTGACAGATACTGTCACACAATGATAAATAAATAAAGTTGAAAATCCCGGTAGGGTCGGTGAGATGGCTCAGTGGGATGGCTCAGTGGGTAAAGGTATTTTCTATGTAATCCTGGTGGCTTGAGTTTCATCCCTAAGACCACATAAAAGTGGAAGGAGAGACATGACCCCAAAAGAGTTGTCTTCTGACCTCACACATGTCATGGCACAGGTGCCTGCATGCAATAATAATAAATTAATTCAAAACAGCCTGCATATGTTCAGGATGGATGTAACTTTTTCTTAATATTTGCTTAAATCCACAGATGCAGAATCTCAGGATACAGAAGACAGCCGTACTCAGAGGGAGTGTTCTGTGCACTGAGACAGTAAAGTCACAGACAAGGCAGGCTGTGACACAGCAGGGCATCCGATGTAAGAGACAGAAACACCAAAAGCAAGGGGGTGGCTTCCCAGGGCAGGGGTGTTAAGCAGCAGCCTGAAGAGGTGTTTTAGTCATCTTCAAAGATGAGCAGGGGCTTGCACAGAATGCCCTGTCATTCACTGAATCCTTTGCAGAATGGGGTACCTTTGTGTAGTAGCTGTTTGCTGACTGAGTCTGTCCTGGACAGTAATGGTTTACAGCCTCTCACCCTCCACCATTTCCAGAAAGCAAGAGCCCTACAGCCTAGCCCCTAGTCCTGCCTTGGATGACAACACTGAGCAAGCACTTTCCTTACACCTGCAGAATAGGCGACTCTCTGTTCCCGTCTGCACTGACACCCAGCTCACCTCCACGGAGAGGACCTTCCCCAAGGCGAAGAACAGGGGATGCATGTTGATATCTGGGTCTTTGCGGAAGCAGTTGGGCTTGGCGTGATGCTGGAAATGCATGTGGTTCCACCAGCTGGCAGGAGCCCCCTACAGAGAATTGCAGATGAGAGTGAAAATCCAGTGTTCAATTCTTAGCACCCACATGGCAGCTCACAACTGTCAGTGACTCTAGTCCCTGGGATCTGATGCCCTCACTGTGACATACAGACATAAATGCAAACAGGGTACCTGTATACATAATAAATTAAGTATTTTTAAAGAGAAAGAAATCCCAGTGTCATGAGCATTTCTCCCACCCTCTGGCAGCCATGAATACTGGGGTTTGGGGGAGCCCCATCAATTCATTGACCTTCAGGTGGCCAATCACAAAATGATGTAGCAGGTGGTTCCATGTAGAGGTGCCGAAGACTGACAGGTGTCCAAAGTCATGCTGTAGCCAACCTGCCTGGGCCTAAAACAGAATGGTTAGTGCTCAGAGCAGCCCGTACCTAGGGTGCCCCCCACAAAGCTCAGCAGCCTCTCAGCCTCTCCATACTGGATTGGTGCACTATCTCAAGGGAACCATGGGTAAGCCCTCTTGGCCCAATGGGTCACATGTAAGTGGAGGCAGACCACAGTCCCCTCTTTCCTCTGAAGTGCCATGACTTAGGATAGACCAGTATCCAGAATACAGACTGCCAGTCCAAATCCTGGTGCTGGACCATGACTGGCATGCATGGAGTGTGGTAGAACCTGAACCTGAGATTTCAGAGAACAAGCTACACAGGAAGAAGGGAACCCAAGGAAGGGAAGCTGGAGAGGCTGTGAGAGAACCAAAACATGCTCATGACTAAAGAGAGATGAAAGTCACGCACGAAAGAATGTGTTCCCTCCCTGTGCCAACGCTCCCGTGTATCTTCAGATCCCAGGCAGGATTCTTGGCCTTGATGTTTTTCCTAGAAGCCCAGGAATGCCAAAGGCACTCACCTGAACTACACTGAGCAGCACCGCACAGAGGAAGAAGGGCACCAAGGACGTTCCAAAGATCCAAAGAGTGAGCCAGGCAGCCACATCCAGCAGCAGGATGTGGAGCAGGTACAACAGGAAGAAGAGGTGATTGGCCTTCATGAGACCCATCCGCTCCACCGTAGCCCGCAGTTCCCGGAACTCATCAGTTAGCTCTTTCTGTGGGAGAGTGGGGCTATAATCCTTCTCGTCAGCACCCCAACCCTCACAGAGAACCTCCCAAGGAGGCAACTGTGGGAGGTCCACAGCCTCTGGCAAACATTCCCTGATGGGAAGGATGGTCCTGATGGAAGAAGCTACTGTGAACGACATCATGCCCAGCAGCTAAGCAGACTTAATTTGGGTCCCCACTGTGTGATCCGTGGCTCTGCAGCTTAAACTCTGAACCTCTATTTTCTCACTGTACATACGTAAAGATTATTATATTAGTTTACATGGGCACACGGCACTAAGTAAATGGGTCTGCTGTTGTCAATGCCATCATTGGAAGAAACACAGGTACCTGCTTCAGTGGGCTTATCACCCCATGACTATTCTAGACTCCCAAGAACTGTCACCTGTCCTATAGTCCTATGCAGGCATCTGCCCCCTCTCCCTCCACAACCAAGTCTCCAAACAGCAAACAGGGTCTCTCACATTCTTGGTGGGTTCAAAGCTGGGCTGCTCCGGAGCCAGCTCTCCAATCAGAAGAGAGTTCATGTACTTTCTCACAAGGCCCTTGTTGATGTGGAATGCCACAAAAGGATCCTGCAAGAATGGGGAGAAGACAATGAAGACCTTCCCGGCCCTCCACACTCCTAAGGGCCTCACGCCAAAGGCCACCTCCCTCTGGCTACTGCCCTTCTAGCTGTCTGCCAGCCTAGGATCACCCAGCATTTGGGTTCCCATTTAAGGACATGACACCAAAAACTGGGAAGCTTCGCCTGGATGCCATACAGAAAGACCTGCCCAGGCTGGCCTTCATGTCTACAGACTCTTGATGCAGGAATTTAGTACAGGAGAAGCAGCTTGCAGGAATAGGTGAGATTATGGGGCTTTTGCTCCTACAGTACTTTCAACAAGTCCTTTTTTTCTCAGCCAGCTTCCCTATAAACAGGAAGACTCCCCATGCCCGAGCTGGAGAACTGTTCCCATTTCTTCCTCTTTGGGCACAGTTTCCTAGTTCCCTCAACATTAATCACTCATTGTTACAGAGTTAATATGGGTTACACAAGGTGGGTGGGAAGACCTCAGGCCTTAGGGAGAGAGGCTGCAAGTGGAGGCGGGGCCATGGGCAGTGGCACCACACATCCAGACCAATCGCTGTCTTTGCCCGGGCCCCCAAATCACACTGAATGGGAAGCCTAGGCAGTGTGAGCAGAAACTCCACAGACAGTGAAGCATACACAGTCTGCTCCATTTGTGCATGCATCAGTAGGACTGCGCTGCCCTCTGGACTCTGGAGTGCTCACTACTAGTGACTGGCTCTATCTAGCCTGGTCTCTAAGTCTGTGGGGTTTTGTTTGCTTGTTTATCAGAGTGCCCTCTGTCTCTCAGCATCTAACTTCAAGGGCACTGAACCCTAGTCACCCCGGAAGCACATTAGACTGACAGAGAAGGAATAAGGGGTAGAGGAGATTGGGTTAAGGACTTAGAAGGAAGGTGGACCCCAAGGTAGGAATCCAACAATTCTGCCACAGAGCGCTCTGCTCTAACTTTAGCGTGCCAAGAAATAAATCAGTCCTGGTTCCACCCTCGGCTGTGAGTAAGGATATGGTCTATGAAGAGAACAAACAGAGCCACCAGACAGAGGCTGGGGGTGGCACCGACTCGGCCTGCATTAAGCAACAACAGAAAAGGAACACTATCCTGCTAAGTGTCTGATCACCCAGGGACCTTCTTCCCGAAAAAGTTGGGAAACCTCCCACTAAGGGTCCTAGGACAGTTCTGGGATTCCAACTTAGGAGTATGCGGATGCAGACGCCCCCCACTGTCACACCTCTCCGGTTATCCACAGTGACTGATGCCCGGAGGCTTTCTTGGACAGGCTCAGGTTCATACCCTACCCTCCGGGCTTCACAGCGTGTACCTCCTGTAGGAGGTGCCAAAACACAGGTTCTCAGTGTCACCCCTATCGTGAGCGTCCCCTCCGGCTCCCTTCCCGCCCCGGATCCCAAGTGGGGGCCGGCTCTCCAAGTCAGACAAGGCTGAGTTCACCATCACAGCCTTGCAGACAGGACGTGACCGATCCCCTCTCCCTGAACTGACTCCTCCTCTGGCCACCCTAGGCAGCACCGCGGTCCGGGTGCCCAGCAAGCTCGTTCCCTCCTAGTTCAGCTCGGGAAACAACCCACGCCTAAGACTTCAGAGGCAAAGCACGGACGTGCAGCCAGCCCTTTGTTTGAGTGTGCCTGGCGCGGGCCTCCATATCCAGCCTCGGTCTCTCCCACGCTTGCATCCCAGGTCCGAAGGTTTCTCTTCCCGCCACTGTCCCGCCCCGAGGGCAGACGCGCCCATTGTCCGCGCTCACCGTGGCATCCTGACCCGCATAGTGGCTGATGACCCGAGAGCCCCCCGGGTGGCGGCGGGTAAAGTCGCTGATGTTGTACACCTTCCGGTCGATCACAAGCCACCGCTCCTTCTCCCGCCCGGAGTGCTGCGCCACCTCCTCCCAAGTAAAGTAGCGAGGCTGGTGGAGTTGGGTCGAGGCCGGGATCGGGGTCGGCACAGGATCGGGGGCCATAGCGGACCTAGCTAGGGAATCCGGAGCTGGAGAGGCGCGCGCTCGAGGCCGCGGGACAGCGCACGCCTGCCTCGCGATTTCGGGGAGCGTCGGGCTGCTGAGAGCGCGCTCCCGGATCCCGGCGTCCGCGCGCAGGGTTTTCAGCACCCTCGGCGCGGACCCCGGCGCGCGTTCCCATTGGCTGAGCCGAGTGGCGTGGGGCGCGAGCTCCGCCTCTCTCGGGCCAGCATGGACGGACGACCCCGGAGGGATTTCTGCTGCTTCCAGAAACCGATAAGCGCCCCCTCGCGGGTGCCAGAAAATGATCACCAAGGGATTCCACTTCTGATGTGGCTGAGCATCGTAGGGACTAACAGGATAACGGTTCCTGTGGGTGTATCACAGCTTGCTGCAGCTGAGGCGAAGGGCCCAAGTGTGCCTAGGAGAAGCTTGGTGTGGGCGCATGGTGGGCTCATGAAAGAAAAAATAATTTGGAGACAGGTTTTCATTTAGCTCAGGCTGGCCTCAAACTCACTATGTAGCTGAGAATGACCTTGAGTTTGTAATGCCCCCTCCCCCTCCCCCGAGTTCTGGGTTTACAGGCAAGGATTACCACGTCCTGTTTTATGCAGCGCTGGAAATTAATCCTAGGCAGTGTTTATGCTAAGGCAAACATTCTATCAATCTCTTGTCCCAAGGAAATGCTTGACAAACTAAACAGCCCTTTGAGCAACAAAACAGCATCCTGATCCTTTCCTAGCAAGGTAGACAGGGAGTATGTGTGGACAGAAAAGGTGATTAACGTAAAGAAATAGCCTAGTTGGCTACAGTTCCAGGGGCATTTGCCTCACGTGGATGAATTTGAACACTCCGCAGCCTAAGGCTAGCGGAAGGCTATGATTAGCCAACATTTTCGACTTAAAAGGATGTAGTACTTAGAAACCAGGAGATGGGTCAGCATGATAAAGGCCCTTGATACCCAGTCTGAAAACGAGTTTAATTCCAGAGATCTACGTGGTAGAAGGAGAAAACCAGCTCCACAACTTGCCCTCTGACCCCCAAGCACACATACACACCCACAGTGTGGAGGAGCAGGGCTTAGGATAGCAAGAAGTGAAGGGAAAAATAAAGCTTTCTTGATGACAAAGTGATTTGGAGAGAGCTACCTGTGTCTAAGGTATTTCAGGAGGCAAGACCTTGATCATCTTTATTCAATTTTATAACAGCGATACTTCCAAGAGTCTGGAGACCCCCCTACCCTGTGTGCAGTCTGGGACCCTCACCTCTGTGAGTGAGTATGTGTGTGTTCCCATGCTCATGCACAGGTATGCAAGCATGTGTGGAGGCCAGAAGACAACCTCCTTTGAGACAAGGTCTCTGACTGGCTTTAAGCTCACCAATTTGGTTACACATGCTTGGCCATCGATCCCCAAGAAAACCTCCTACTTCCACCTCCCCAATGCTGAGATTCCAAGTGCTTTGCTGCCATGTCTAACTTTTTACATGGGTTCTGTAGATGAAACTCCAGTCCTCCCTCACATTTCCAAAGGAAAATTCAAGCACTTGAACAAGTGAGCCATCTTCCCAGCCCCAAGGAATCCTCTGGAATAGAGAGACACAGACCCAAAATTTCAGGCTCTGAAGTCAGTCATTTCTCTGATCTTGTTTTCAAAAAGACCCTGTCTCCAGGTTCTAGATTGTACAAGGTCTGGTTGCCATCAGTTGCTGAGTCTCAAAAGTACTGCTTGTACTTGGTAAATATACACTGTGGCACTGACATCATATGAACTGTGTCATAGTTTATAGTAACTATGCTGAGAATGATGGCTTCCTGCCCCTATTTCATAAATAGTTGTGTTTTCCTGTGGGAGTTGATGTGATTGCCATCAATAACACTGATTAAAATAATCCATTTGACTGACTTGGTTAGCTTTGCTGCCAAACCTGGTGACCTGGATTGGATCCCTGGTACCTACATAATGCAAGGAGCTAATTGACTTCTACAAGTTTGTCCTCTGACACACACACATGTAATTCATAATACCCTTACGTATGCACACAGACAGACAGGCACACACACAAAGTGATGGTTTAAAAGAAAATGGCCCCCAAGGATAGTGGCACTAGTAGGAGGTGTGGCCTTGTTGGAGTAGCTGTGGTATTGTTGGAGGAAGTTTGTCACTGTGGGGGCCAGCTTTGAGGTCTCATATATGCTCAAGCCACATCCAGTAAGTCAGTTTACTTCCTGTTGCCTGCAAGTCAAGATGTAGGACACTTGGCTACTTCTCAAGCACCATGTCTGCCTACCCACCATCATGTTGCACCACGATGGTAATGGACTAAACCTCTGACAATCTAAGCCACCCCAATTAAATGTTTTTCCCTTTTGAGAGTTGCCATAAAAAAAATAAATGTGATTTTAAAAATATAAATAAGATAAATAAAAATGAAGAAAGGCCAGGCTTGCCTTCTTTGTATAATTGCATATTGTTTTAACTTTTGTTATTTCTAGTTATTTTAGTTACATATTATGTTCTTCTGTTTTGTCCTGGGGGCAGGGTCTCTATATAGGTAGCCCTGGCTGACCTGGAACTCACCATGATGAACATTGCCTCTATATTGCAACAATCACTCTGCTTTAACTTCCCAAGTGCTGGGATTATAAGCAGGCACCACAGTGCTTCTCTAGTTTATAATAGAATTATCCAGTCTTGGTGACTGGATTTTTAGGAGACGTTAGGAATAAAGAAATTGTGAACTTTGTATCACAGCAGCAGGAGTGGTCCTCACCACTTATGTGAAGAGTGGTGAATCTAGTAATACTATTTCTAGAAGCATGTACTTCTCATAGTGGTTTGTCAGCATGGCATAGAGCCTGTTCACTAACAGTCCTATGTATTGCTAGTCTTTCTGTAATAAGGAGCTTTTCAGGGGGCAGAGCCCCATCCCTCTCTCTGCTCTTGTTTTGGCTAAGTGTAAGAGTTTTCCATTCTTGATAATAGTGCCAAACCATTCTGGCAGAAGAAGTATTCATTTCATGTGGACATTTTATCTTATTGTCTGGACACCAATATGAATAATAAAAAAACAGAGACAGATATTAGGGTTCAAGCTGACAATCAGAGAAGCAAAGCAGCCAAGCCACCAGAGAGCTCTTACCTCTCCCAAGGCTGAGGCACTGTGAGCTTATTCACATTAGGTAAGCCAGGAGGCAGAGTAAAGGACTGCTCACATTCAGATGACTTTTCCCTTTGCTTTCTTGAGTCAAAGATCCCAGGCCATAGAATGTGCCACTTACTTTCAGAGCAGGCCTTCGCTCCTGTTAATCCTCTCTGGAAACACCTTCACAGACACACCTAGAAGTGTGTCTCCTTGGTGATGGTGATCCAATCAAGTTGATATAGATGAAGAATAAGCATTGCTCACAAAGATGGTGCATTAAAATGCCAGCCATCAACTTATTTTTCTTGCTGAAAAATTTTCATCCAAGTTCATTTTACCTGTAAGCCTACAAAGGATGAAGACATAGTTTATTAGTAAGGGCACTTGTAAAACACTCATACACATTTTTTAAAAAGAGAACATAAGTTCCTTTTACTGGTAAGTGTATATAAGAAAAGCTATGTATCTGTATTTACTTCATGTTGAAATTTCTGGAGATATGGCTGTTTTAACTGAACCTTCAACATTATCACAAGTAATTACCCGAGTCACATGAACTTGGAAAGCATTTGGGGTCATTCTTATGTTCTGAGGAGAATATTTAGAAAAGCATGTTTACCTTAAATCCACTGAAACTGAGCTGTTTTACAGTTTAACTTGACAATAGTTGAATAAAATAGACAAAAATCAAATCTTTCAGACATATAAGCATTCATGTAGGTGGATGAGGAGAGCAGAGCTTCTTTCCATTTGAGACAGATCTGACTAGGCAGCCCTGGCTGGTCTGGAACTGACTAGGTACACCAGTATGGCCTCCTTCTCCCGGAGATCCACCTGCCTCAGCCTCCTGAGTGTTGCCCCCCCAGTCTAGATCCCACTTAACTCTCAGGTTTCAGCCATGTGTTAGGCACAAGTTTCCTGAACCCAAAGAATGTTTTCTGTCATGGTGGGTTAAAGCTCTTGACCATATTCATAACACAATAAAATAAGTAAAAAGATGTTTATTTAAGATGGCTTTGTTGGCTTTTTGTGATGCACCTTTTCCAGAGGTGATCTCTGGTTCATTTAGTCATTTAGATGCTTTTATACGCTGTTAAAGACCAGATCCCATTGATTTTTACTGTCTCAGTTTTTTGCAGGCCAAAGCTTCCTCACTGTAGCCATTACACTTCTAAATTGTCTTTGGTACTGATAGCTTTTCCTTCCTTTTTGAGGTGTTACTATGTAGTCCTAGCTGGCCTGGAACTTAATAGCTAGAACTCACAGAGACCCACCTGCCTCTGCTTCAGGAGTGCTGTAGTACTAACTCATTTTTTTCTCAATACACACATTCTGGGCCTCCTTGTTCTTGTGTATGAATTACCCAGTATTCTAGAAAATGGAATTCCAGACTCTCGAATTCTCAGACTTCTTAGATTTGAGGAGACTTCTTTCCCAAAACTACCCGAGCTTTCTTACTAGAGCTAGAAGAGTTCATTGTCAGGTCTGATCAAGTCATGGATCCTCTCCAGTTAGAATTGTTCAAAGATGATTTGAAAGCTCGAAACACAAATCCAGGAGCTGTCCTGGGAGTAGAACTGGCCCACGGCCTTACCATGCAGTAGTTCAATGGCCCCAGTGAGTAATTTGACTTGGTCCCTGGGTCCTCCTGTAGGGTCACTCTGGAGGACAACTAAATCCCATTCAGACACCAGTCTGTTAGAAGAAGAAAAGAAAATACCTTCAGACTAATTAAATTTAGCAGAGTCTATTTTTGATAAGAAAAGGTTTATGAATCAGAGAGTAGTCTGAGCCAAGAGAAAGTCCAGAAAGCTCCGTGCAGCCAAGTGAGTAGGTGGCATTTATGACAGGAAAAGGAGGTAGCTTACAGGAACAACCTTATTAGTAACATCTCAGCACTTGCCTATGGACACCACTCTGGGCAGTCTGCAGCCTGAGTGGCTGAAAGTTCAGCTGATGTGATTGAGACTGT